ATAATCGTAAGAAAAAATTACATAATTGCTTTGCATGTCCGGTTACATCATTGTAAATGTCTGTCGGTCGCGAGAAGATTGCGTCGATAAGTTTGTGGCGAGCATACGGCAAGATTAACGTGTCCGTTGGGTCTACCTTTTATCTAAATGTATCTCCCAGTGCTGAATTTGCAGTTCCACGCAAAAATACGAAAGTGATAACGCATTTAACACGCCCAAACATCCATATATATATATATATATATATATATATATATATCTGATGCTTTATCCTACCTTCATTTAATCAACCATAATGCATTTGAGAAATTTTAGAAACAGTATGATTATTGAGCTGTTAAAAGTGGACACTCTTAAACGAAAAACTTCATTACTCATTATCATTGCAAAATTTAGGGAGCAATATCTGAAAGAATTTTCCATTGTATCCCAACGCGCAAAGCATCGCGAGTGATCGCATATTTTAACGGAAATTTCATTAGATACACGTCCGGAATCTTCGACACTACGTAGGGAAAGGGGAAATTGGAGTTCCATATTTTCCTGCTCATCATTACCTTCGGCGAGCGATGCTGGCGCGAGAATAATTTAAATAGGAAATCGGAATGCCGCCGTTTCTCTCGCATTTTATATCGCGCGATTTTATTAGACCGGGGTAGGAAGAAGCCTACCAGGACAAAATCTGATAACTCGTAATTTGCGTAAAGAGAAAATGGAAAGGAGTAGAACTGAGCTAATTTAATGAACGGCAGATAATGAAATTTAAATCTCTGCGCCGGTTTTCATCTCGCTATACTGTCAAATTTTCTCTCACCGAGCGAGATGAGATTCGCTCTCGTGTCGTTGCCGGAGATTCAAATAGCACCGAAGCAAGACGCTTCTAAACATGGCAGTGTAGTAATGTAGTCTGTCAAGATTAAAGTAAAAAGTACAAACGGTCGGCGCACACGCAATCTATGCGCTAGCATTCTCGTAATTTCTCGAGAAAGACAGACTTACGTATTGTTAGATATTTATCGAAATATGTCATATTTATACACACATAAAAAACGAGCATTGTTCGTTTGAACTAAAAATAAAAGTAAAAAAATCATATAATGAAAGAATAAAAATTCTTTGCTACTTTTTGTATTTTTGTTAAATATCTGTGATATATATATATATATATATATATATATATATATATATTAACTTAATTTAATAAAAAAATATATAAATTTTATAATCTTATATAATTTGATGAAAAAAATTATACATTTTTAATTAAAAAAAAATAGTTGTTTTTAAGAGAATAATTTTGGAAACTATCAATATGAAAGCACAAACTTATATCTAAACAGAAATAAAATTTAGCGAATGCTATTTTTAAAATTATGTTTCTTTGTATAATTGAAGCCGTAATTAGTGCTGTATCTCCAGAGCAGTTTGAAAAACACGATTGAAAAATTTTCCTGTTAATTTGTTTCGTACAAAAAACAAAGTATATATATATATGTGTGCCTAATATAGATTTGCGTGTGTTTAGCATAATCATATAGTAAAACCGATTAAAAGATGAGTATATGGAAAAATGGACATGACACCCAACTGTATACAATCAACTCTTCTCTTTTCTATTTTAAAACTTTAAAAAATGTGTGTATGTGTGATCCAAATTACTAAATAAATTAAAAATCTTTACGGTATATAAAATTATATGATATGCATTTAATATGATATAATATTTAAAAATATATAAAATAAAATATAGAAAACAATTCCATTTTTTATGGTTTAAAATATTAAAAATATCACGTTTAAAAATATTTATACAAATTTTTTATTTATATTCTTTGGTTAAAAATAATCCGATATTTAAATTCGAAATATTTCACACATTACTTATTTTTTTACATAATTTTTTCCCACAATTTATAAGCTATAGCATTCACTTGTCCTTCTACTTTTATTAGTCGAACGCGGTGTCTGGGTTTGAATTTACCCGGATTAGTATATATCAAGACTAAGACCTCAAGGTCGGCAGGGCAGTCGATTTCGAAAACGACTTGGCACACTCTTGGCGAGCAGTTATTTAGTACGGATACGAGGCAACGGTGGTCTAACCAGTTTGTTTGTCAGACCCAGACCTGGTCAATTCTCGGGGGACTGATTTCTCGGTGGCGAAGGTGGTTTTCCGGGTCTCACTGTGACCACATCGAATATTGTATTCGTATTACTGCGCTCGTAAACTCGACACTATAGGACTATTCGAGTAATGGGAAAGGTGGTTTTGTCCTTAGGATAGAAATAAAAATTATATTCTTTTTTAGGATACGCGCGGCACGAAATACATCTCGAAAATAGAGACTAAAAATTTTTGTACTTTATATACTATAGATAATTATAAATATTATATCCCCGCGTTTTAATGTTAAATATTAATAGTCAAAAACGTATAATATTTAAGATTTTACATACAAATTTTAATACTACTTTTGGAGGAATATGTTTTTTAATATATTAATGCCGTGTTTACCTAGCCACTAAAACGAGATACTCTATTATATCATATTGTACTGGATATTAAAAAGTCTCTTTTGATGTGTACTACGAGGCACAAGAGGGCTTTTATCTACCTAGTAATAGAATTTCGTTATTTCCATTAAAAGTTAATTTGAGAGAGAGAGAGAGAGAAAGAGAGTTAACTGGGTAGAAAGCCGCTTTGCATAGTAAAGCAAAATATACGCTGCTGTATACATATCTCATTTTAATAGATAACAGACTTTTACAAGAATATAGAAAGTTAGTCGTTAAAGAAAATGATAAAAACAAGAATTTATATTACATCCTCGTGCGACAAGTTCATTCAATAATCCTAGAATGATTTTGCTTCATACAACAAATTTGATTAAATTTTTAAATTGTATATAATTAAATAATAAAATTCTTCCATGTATTTAAATTGATAAAACCCTATACTAAATATAATAATAAATATACATATGTACAAAAATACAATTTTCATATATGGTATATATAGGTATTATTAGTATATAAATAAATGTCATCAATTTAAATGTTATAAATATTATAGAATATAAAATAAGTAAAGATTATATATATATATATATTTATTATTTAATGTAAAAAAAATTTATCAACTTGAATGTTAAAAATATATACAGTATATAGAAAGATTTTTAATTATTTAATTATATAAATAATTATAAATTTGTCCGCATATTTAACATCGGAGTTAATAAAATATTTTTGCATTAAATATAATAAACATTTATACATAAAAACTATCATATAATGATATACATATCTTGAAATTATTCTATAAAACTTGTTTATTCTATTATAGCGATAATTATTCTTTGTCTTTCGTTATAATTGTAAGCATTATAGTTAGTTATAGCTGCTAAACTGTTTCAAGAGAACGCAAATGGAGATTTAAATACATCGGAGAAGAGGAGAGTGGAATGCTCTCGTTTGAAAACACGAGATATATTGCCGGAGAGCACTCACAAAATACTTGTGCAGAATAATTACAAGAACCAAAGATTATATGTATTATTCCATAAATTTAAATTATTATTAGAAGAGAAACACAATAAAGTTTAAGTAATTAAAAAATGAATCTGTTATAGGATTGTTCCCGTAAAGCAATTAGTTAAAATAACCTGAAGTTTGAGTATAATTCTTTCCCTTCCGCGCTAACTCAATTTTCAGAAAGAGATGCGGAAACAGTTAGATTAAATTTTCAGTTAATTTTAACTATATATAATATTTATATATATGCAAAACAAATCAAAAATATTTCAAATTTTAATTCAAATTCTGTTAATATGATTCTCAATATTTCCTTTATTAAAATTTATATTAAATAAACTTTAAATTATAAAAATAATAAAATTGCAAAACACGTGTAATATTGTTGATACGATTTACGGACAATGTAATAAATTGTTTGAAAAAATCTTCATGTAAATAAATATAAAATACCGAGATTATACGGATGTGTGTATTTCTATATATTGTATGCAGCGAATTCAGAGAATCGCGCAATTCCGGAAACATACATCGATATTTTGCAGCTTTAATCCGCGACGTGAAAATATTTCATCACGCGGCCTTATATAGCTATATCAAACGCAAGATACGGCGAAACGGAAAATGGCCGGTAGATTAAACGAGGGCGCATTTTGGCTTTGTGCTGTAGAGTGTGCGACAGCGCCAGCGGAAATAAATCTGTTGCAATCGCGCGCAGCTGCGGTCGGCTACTTTATATATCGACCGCAATCACTGTTTTCGAAACAAGGGAAACAATCAACAAGTTTCAATCATCGAAACAGCAAATATGTTTCGCAACGATGAATTTGTATATTCGGCGCGCGGCGCCTTTTATATCGCATCGTTTCAATTTTTCCTTTATACGCGCAATCGATATTTTATTTCATACATATTTTCTCTCTCGCGTGTCACTGTTACGTATTCGTTGTTCATTTATTGCGTATCTTGCAGAGTAAAAGCTCGAAAAGTCATTAAACGTGATAAAATTACGATTATTGTCCGACACCGATTGCCGCCAAAATGGCGAAAAAAATTGCATCTTGGCCGTGTCTCAAAGACAACCTTCACATCCGTATTTTTGCAATATTTCCTTTACCTCTTTCCGAAGACTACTCGTACGCGAAGCAGAAGGACGTCAATCTTTCGATTCGAATCGATGGACGTACGCAGCATCCCGTTTTTTCTCTCGACTATAAAATCTTTCGCCTCACCTTCGTCGTTCTTCTCTTCTACCGCGCAAAGAACAGGTTTGCCAACTTCGTAGAAATGAAACTCGCGTTTCTACTCAAAGTCTATGACTATAATCTAGAGGGGAAACTCGACTGGAAAAAAAACACCTCGCGGCAGGTTTGTCCAGTGGCCTAAATTCCCCTAGTTTAGTTCGGCTTGCGGCCGACAGAGGGCGCCGCGGTCGAAGCGCCGAGTGAAAAGAGTCGGCCGTATACAGTGCAATGCGTACATCCGGGGCAACATAACCTCGAAGCGGAGCCCGATAACCCGCTATCTGCGGATGAACTGTCAATTCCGGTGGGGCGTGTTTTGCGAGCGCGTTCAGGAGAGACCGTGGAAATTCGTGTAGACTGACCAGAGTCCGCGAATTTCCGTGAACGCTGTCCAGGATACACGATCGCCCGGAATTTCCTCCCGCTCGGTAAAGTTTAATCAGCGACCGCGCCCGTCGACCGTGCTTGTGTCAAGTGTCTCGCTGATTCATCGCCGCTTGACACGTCGTCCTTTGTCGCGTTTCGCTGATTTCGTCGCACTTAGGCGTCCCGAGGCGTCCTTTCCGCAAGTAGCGAGCACGAAATGACGGAGGTCCATAACTTCGGTCTCGATGCCATCAGCTGTCATGCGTGGAATAGAGATAGAACAGGTACGGAGTTGTCGGATATTATTGGATATATTATTGGATTATTGAATATTTAATTGAAGCGGCGAAGCGTTAATAATCGATAATCCTTCGTCTTTCGCAGAAGTTGCCATATGCCCAAACAACAATGAGATCCAGGTGCACAAACGTACTTCATCCGGATGGAAGTTGCTGGAAACCTTGGAGGAGCATCACATGGCTGTCATGGGAATCGACTGGGCGCCCAAAACCAATCGCATAGTCACCTGTTCCGCGGATAAAAACGCTTACGTATGGACTCAAAAGGAAGATGGCAAATGGGATCCCGCATGGGTTCTCCTACGAATAAATCGAGCTGCTACTTGCGTAAAATGGTCTCCTCTAGGTATATTTATATAGAAGAATATATTTACTTATATATATTATATTATGTTATACTTGAATTTATATTTATTTCTTTATGTGATTACTCTTTACAGAAAACAAATTTGCTGTTGGTTCTGGAGGACGAGTTATAGCTGTTTGTTACTTTGTATCAGAGAATAACTGGTGGTTATGTAAACATATAAAGCGTCCATTAAGGTCTACGGTGACTACCGTTGACTGGCATCCGGATAACAAGGTTCTGGTTGCTGGATCTACGGACTACAAAGTTCGTGTTTTCAGTGCATTTATCAGTGATATGGAGGATGCTCCTGGTACTACTCCTTGGGGACAGAGTAAAACCTTAGGAGCTTTACTGGCTGAGTTTCCTAATACACCCAGTGGAGGTAAGACTTTTTATTATTTATTATTTATTGTTGAAAAATATAGAATAGTTAGCTATTTTGAAAAATTGAATTGTATAGAATTATGTATACAATTACTTTTATTCATTTAGGTGGCTGGATACATTCAGTAGCGTTCAGCCCATGTGGCAATAAAATCTGTTGGGTGGCGCACAACTCGTCTCTATGTGTCGCCGATGCTACTAAAGGAAACGCGGTCATGAGACTGTATACAGAGCATTTACCGTTTCTAAGTTGTATTTGGATAGGATCTAATAACATTGTTGCCGCGGTAAATAACGTAACTCTTAAAATTATTCACTATATCTATAAAAATGTTCCCTATATTAATTAAGAATCTCTATTCACATAGGGACATAGCTGTATGCCGATGTTATACTCTGTAGATGACAACGGACAAATATACTTTGCGTCAAAGTTGGATAATACACAAAAAAAGAGATCGCCGGATTGTCTGCCATGCGAAAGTTCCAATCGTTAGATCGGCAAGCGAGGAACGAGACGAATGATAACGCTTTAGATAGCGTGCACCAAAATACAATCAATTGCATTCGTCGAGTGTCCGATCGTGAATTTAGCACAAGCAGTTTAGATGGACAACTTGTAGTTTGGGACTTAAAGGTAATTTGTGTCAATACATTATTTTAGTATTAATAATTATGATTCTAATCTATCTTTTTTTTTTTAATTAAGCTTTTAGAGAATTCCATTGCTGGTCTCAAGATAGCGTAAACATGAAACTTTTTTTACATTGCAAAGATCAGAGATATTACATCCAATACAACGATGTATAAATGTTAAAATGAATACTATACAAATTTCTCATTAATTAATCACCTCATTAAATTTTCCACGTCGCGACCTATCTCCTTGTGGAAAGAACTTCCATATCCTTCGTATAATATATATATGGATGAAATATTCAATAATGCATTCTTATAAAGAGGTAACATTAGCTATTGACGTCGCTCGCACGTCATCGATAAATACAAGGTGTCCCGAAAACCTGAACCAATAGAGTCTTCATAGTCAGTACGGTATCTTTTAATTTTTATGTTATTAAAACTGTTAATATCTGTTTGTTAAAAATATAACAATTGACAGTTTATTTTCTCTTTATATAGTTTATCCATTAATCCCAATGCCCGATCGCAATTTTCGGGACACTTAAGTACAGGAGAAGAATGTCAAGCAGGCTCAAAGGGTAAAACACGAGTTGTATGCGACCAGGCGCACAACTCTGTCGGGCGGTTCATCAGTCGGCAGGCATAAGCGGCTGACACGCGCCTGGTAGGTCCTCGGCAGGGGTGGGGAAAAGGCAGCCGGACAAGATCAGTAGCGTGAATATCGATTCAGTCTCGCGCAAACCACCCCCATGTGCTGCCTGCAGCGCACTTGTACTCCGCTTTGCTGCCATGCCCGTTGTAATAAACAACAAAAACGCACGACGACGCGAATATTGTCAATACAAAGTGGCCCGTCGTCGTCGTTAAAAACACGTTAATAGAAGAAACGAACGAGATCAACGATATCGTCATCGTCGAAGACGCCAATCGGATACTCCGATTATGTGGCGCCGATCGTGATTATTGATTCTAAGGGTGACGTGTTGGTTTTTCCCATTTTTTTTCTAAAATCTAGAGGAGAGAATTCATTGCAGCGCTAAGAAAAGGAAAGTAGCGCGCGCTTTCATCATCCCTTCGTGTCATCGCCGTTATCACCCTCTTTGCGAGCGCGTCGCGCGAACAGGAAGCGCCGCCGCTGCCGGCGCGTGGCGTTATTATTCGGAAAGGAAGCTCATTCTCCATCTACGTGAGACTACTATCTCAACGTCAAATATGATGCGACCTCGTCATTCGCAGACCGAGCTGTGCTACTCTTGACTACGAATCACAGGCGCCGAGGAACAAGTGCGGAACGAGACGAGAGCTGACGAGTACCCCATCGAGGTGGTACCATGTCTTCGATATCAGCGCAGGGTGTCGTCGAACGTGCCAGCGCAGAATTGACCAAACGAATTAACGGCCTGGGATTGCGGACGTCGAAGCATCATGGTCGGTGAAACGAAACGTTTTCGCGTTTCCTTGTATCCGTATTCCTTTGTGTGTCATCCAAGAGTGTTTGTCACCTGTCCCTACCCCTGCTTCTTCTATAGCACCCCTATTATAAGTTTCCACCACCTCCTCCTCCACCTCCTGCTCGTAGTAGCGTGTGTAACACGAGCGCGTCGTTTTAGATTCCGCGTTGATTTCGCGTCGACTTCGATTTTTTTACGCGCTATCGGGAACAGAGACTAGATGAAGGAAGGATCGCGCGCTTTGGATTGGTGTCAAGTTTATCTTCCGCTTGGACGACGATGAAAAATAAAGACGCGCGAGTAAAGGGTTGCCGATGTCGACCCTTTACGATTTTTTTCACTCGGTGCGTTCCGGGTTCGTAACGACGTTAAACACCCCTCGGTTCAGTCCTGTTGTTACGTAATCAGGATAAAGGATTGATTTTTTTGTAACGGGTTTTCGCGCGCCTCTTTCTCTCTTCCTCTTGTTTTTATTTTTTATTAGTTTTTTAATTTATCCATATAGCATTCAACAATATATATATATATATATATATATATATATATATATATATATGACGTTTATTACTTTACACACGCGGGGATAAATCTCGCGCCGTATATACTTTACACGCGATATTTTTTCCGTAATTTATTAAGCGATACCGCTACGTGACTCTTTTGTCGTCGCAATTTTAACTGCAATGGAATCAATACGTACACGTTCTCGTGCACGCGAAAATAGTAGCAAACTCGAGCATAATGAGACGCCTTAGAAACGCATATTTATTCATCCGTTTAACGTCGCGTCTCGCAACAATCCCGATGACCTGATTCGTTAGATTGATAAGATAATTGCATCCAAGTAATCACCTAAGATTATTTTAAGACCAAACATGTTGTATTCGAGTTTGAAACATTAATTAAACATGCTGATGTGCGTTGCGACTGATCGTCACTTTCGCCAGTTTAAAGACGCATCGTCTTTAGATCGACCGCGTTTACGTTCAGATGCGCAAATAGTCAATCTTCGTGATTGGATAGATGCCAATCCCGGGTCAGCAAAACCGTGATCAGCCAGAGCAAAGACGGATTTGGTTCTGAGCAAAAGAAAACATAAATCTAGGATCTCTTTCTCTCTCCCTTTTGCCTCAACCAACTATACGCATAAAGGATCAGATTTGATATGCAATAGGAATAGAGATAAGTAGGGAAAATTGAATTGTGATAGCTATTTAATTTAATCGTTAATTAAAATTGATATATTACATTACATATTAAAATTGATATGTTAGTCATATTATTTTTTATCGATCAACAAATTATAAATATATAGAATAGAAATTTATATATTGCACATACACACAAAACATACACGAAAGTGCATAGAAAAGAAAATATTACAATATATATAATCTCGCTTATACTGGTCTTTATTAAATATGATTAGTTGATTTTATTATGACTAAAGATAAAACTATATATTAAATGCAGTTACTAAAAATAAAAAAATTTGCAAGATAAATGGCAAACAGGAAATAGCGGTGTGCCGCGAGCCAAATAGAATATATACAGCTAGGAAATAAAACGAGAATATTCAAGGGAATCTTATCTTCGATTTTTCTCTGACGAAAAATTATGATATAATTATGCTTATGGTATCAATTCAAAAGCTATCGAGAAACTCTATGGATTAAATTAAATGGCTATCACATAATTTGTGTGTGTGTGTGATTCAGCTGATAAATCATTATCTTATATCTTACAGAAATTATTACAGGATGTGTGTGTGATTCAGCTGATAAATCACTATTTTATATCTTACAGAGATTATTACAGGATAACAAAAATGTAGACCTCTATTAAAAGTTTATATAAATATGTATTCAAAAATGCATTGTTTCACGTTACAATTAAGTTTGGATTAAAACTTAAGATATTACATATTACGAATAAACGTATTATTTTATTTCCAGCAACACAAAACAATTGTAAGAGTTTTAAAAAAGATAGCCATAATAGTATCTATAGTTGTCATCCAAAAAGTAAAAATTATCAAGTGTTCCTTAGATAAAAACGAAATTATTAGATAGATTAAAGTTAGTTTGGTGTAATAAACCCCTTGTAGAAATGTATCATTAGTAACGTTAATTTATCACTTATTTCGAGTACTTAAATTACTGTATATCAGTATTTTAAGTACTTGAAATAAGTGATTAATTAATATTACTAGTGATAAATTTCTACAAGGGATGTTGTTTAACTCTAGCATTTATTTTGTGAAAATGTTAAATTTTTCGTTTTCTTTTACTTTTATTTTTTCTATTGTTTTGTATATGTTGGAAACAAAATAATATACTTTGTAATCATCTTAAGTTTTTTTTCAAATATAATTAACATAAAAAATGATAGATTTTTAAATATATGTATGTTTATATACATTTTTTTGTCATTTTAATTAGTAGAATAATATACACTTCTAAAATAGTGGCCTACATTTTTATTCCATTCTGTATATTTCACAGTAAAAATATGTCTCTTTAAAGAAATTCGATTACTTAAATATTCGCGTTAGGTATTTTATAATTGCAAGCTCTTGATGTGCATCTTGCTCAATGCTATTAATGTCTATATAATATTTCAAGTTCCATAAATCCTTCTTCCCACAAATTTCCTTGACCTTTAATTCCGCAAATCGTTACTGTCATAAATTCTTAACGTTATACAAATTTCACACGCAGTTTAAAAATTTTTATTTATATTTTTAGGGAGCGGAAAGACCAGTGTCATGGAACGCGTGACAAACGTCTTTTGTGGCGGAAGTGGCAGTGTCGCTTACATGAATTTGCAAAGCGCGAATAATGCAAACGCAACGCCCGAAAAGCCCAGCCGAAGTGTCGCGCAGACTATTAACAATGTATCGACGGGCAACAATAAGGAACGTTTGAATAATGTCACCCCAAGCAGAGCTAGAATACCCAGGAACAGAATAAAAATGGCTGTACCGCTGGCTAGCGGAGGAACCGGAGGATACGTACCACCAGTTACGTGGGAGCAGCTAATACAGGATGACAATTTCCTCGGCCGGTTTTTTCTCTATTTCAGTCCTACAGAGAGAAGAATTTTAGCTCAGGTAGTATGACGTAACAGATGACACAATTCTCCATCCATAATCCAAATATAAATAATACAAGCAAGCTTGTAATTTTATCAATAATGTAAATTTTTTTCGATTTTTGTGCTAATGTTTAACAATAGAGATCTAATTTAAAAAATCATTTTAATAAATATATATATAGCAAAAATGTGTATCTTAAAAATATAAATTAAGTATAAAATTAAAATGTATAATAAACTTATGATTTTTTTACAATTGTATCAGTGTTACAGTATAGATATCAAACTTTATTCAAATCTTGAATCTTATGTTTATTTTGGTTTAACCCCTTTATCTATAAATCTCTATATGGCTTGCTTCTGATAAAATAGACCTATTGTATCCTGTTGTAGAATATTTGCATCATAACACAATGTGTCTTTGTCGCTTTTCTACTCAAATGCATATCGTTGTACGCAGGTTTGTACGAGATGGAGAGACATTCTGTATGCAAGACCGCGTCTTTGGGCGGGTTTGGTGCCAGTGATACGATGCCGTGAAGCTCGCGCTATGCAGCCGACCTTGCGTACCCGGTTATATGCTTCCTTAATAAGAAGAGGTTTTGACTCCTTGGTCCTTCTAGGTGCGACCGATGAAGATATTCCGGAATTAACACGCGGTTTTCCATTGGCACAACGATACGTGCATTCTTTGTCATTACGATGCTGCGCGGTAACGGATAGAGGTCTAGAGGCTCTTTTGGATCACTTACAGGTAAATTTCTACACGGTCTTTCTTCTCATGTGTTGTTTGTTATATTGGTTTATTATCAAATAAACTAAAAATTTATTGCAAACTTACAATAATCGCTGATAAGTGTAATTACAGTACAAAAAATATTTATATATGTATAAGAATTTTGAGATATCAGTGAAATATGTTTATGAAATTAATATTTAAAATGCTTACAAAAATAGAGTAAAAAAAAGCCTTCTAAATATAAAATTTTTTCAAATTTATTATTAATTTTTTATTACTGTAAATATTAAAATAATTTATTAAAATTATATAATCAGATTTTAAAAAGTCAATATAAATATATTCTTATGTAATAAAAATTACTATATTCGTGTACAAGTTCCATATTATTTAAGTGATATGTTTCGTGAATATAATAATTGTATTCTTTGATAATAATACGTAAATATTATATATATATATATATATATATATATATATATATAATAGAAATATATAACTTTTATTCAAACGCAAAGTGCTATTTTATTCGAGCATGATATTTCATATGCTAGATCACTTTACAACTCAAAATTCGATACTATAAATGCACAAAGAATCAGTTAACAGGATTACATTGAGTAAAACGATACGAATATAATTTTTTGTGATTATTTTTAGGCTTTGTACGAGCTTGAATTAACTGGCTGCAATGAAATAACGGAAGCTGGATTATGGGCATGCCTCACCCCTAGAATAGTATCATTGTCTTTGTCGGATTGCATCAATGTGGCCGATGAGGCCGTCGGTGCCGTGGCTCAGCTATTGCCAAGTCTTTACGAATTTTCTCTGCAAGCTTATCACGTTACTGATGCTGCGCTTGGTTACTTCAGTGCAAAGCAAAGCAGTGCACTTAGCATCTTGAAATTGCAGTCCTGCTGGGAGCTCACAAATCACGGCGTAGTAAATATTGGTGAGAATCATTTTATTTCACTTCTATATTATTTTGATTTTATTTTTTATATAGATTTATCTTTTTTCATTGAATCGTTGCAGCATATTCGATATACTATATAATATTAGATGCCTAAAAGATTTCCATATAAAGAAAGATATAAAAATTTCGATTTAAATATTATTTTAACTTACAAATGAAAAAAATTTATTTTGATTTAAATAGATAACAAACCTTTATTCTTCGAATAAAATCAGATAATGACAATTTATATAAAATCAGATAATGACAATTTATATTAAATTATGATGATGTATAAATTACATGCTATTATTCTCGACAATCGTAGGCGGTTTGCCAATTTTAAATTTTGACCAAGATTCTCTGTGAACGACAAAGTTAAATGAAATGTACAATAGTGATAGGCTGAAATGAAGACAGTTGCATACGTGCTTAGATTTAAATTTAGAATGCAAGAACACAGCTTTATTTAACTTTCAAATTGTCACGAGTAATTCAGACTCGAATTATACGTACAAGAAGTGTGCATATTTTACTGACAATGATCTGTGATATCATTATTTAAATAGATGTCGTGAAAGAAGATGAGATTTTATACCACAAGTATTCTTCTGAAATGTAAAAATTTATTTATATTTACTTTATATTATTTAAATATTAATTAAATTTATAAAATGATTAAGATAAAATTTTAATAAATAAATGATAAATTTTAACATAAAATTATAATTATATATTTTTTTATAACTTTTATTCTAAAGAATAAAGATAATAATAAAAATATATATTGTATATAATCGCTCAAAATTTTTGTATAATTTAAAATATTTTCCCTTACACGTGTAATTTTTTTAGAAATATTAAATTATAATATATTTTTCTTTCAGTACATTCCTTGCCCAATCTGACTGTGTTGTCACTTTCTGGATGCAGTAAAGTGACTGACGACGGTGTCGAATTAATTGCGGAAAACTTGCCAAGACTTCGTTGCTTAGACCTGAGCTGGTGCTCAAGGATTACAGATGCAGCCTTAGAATACATTGCCTGTGATTTGAATAATTTAGAAGAACTCACGTTAGATAGGTAAGAGAAAATTATTAGAACGTAATGTCATTTTCGACAATTAACAGTAAATATAAGTCTATAAAAAAATTACTATCTATATATTTACATAAAATATTAAAAAATGTGTTTTATATCGCATAAAATGCTATCAAAAAAATTATATTTTATATATATATAGATTTTCTTATATCTTTTTCATATCTTTCTTCGGAAAACATTAATATGTTATGAAAATGAAGACATAATCTATTTAAAAAATTGCATAACTTTTAAAAGGCATCTTCTAGTTACCTAACAAGTATTTATCTAAACATATTCTATTTAAAATCGTGCATTACATAATGACTGACTCATATGTCACAATAAGTGACAGAAAGTCTTAGAGCTACTAGATTCGTAATTATCTTTAGCCAAGCGACTATTTACTATGGCAGTAAATCTTGTCTATTATTTTGTACTTCTGACATATGTAATTTATTTCGCATTTGTATGTCTTTTGCATCGTATTCTTCATACTATTGTACAGGTGTGTACACATCACGGATATTGGTGTCGGTTACATTTCAACGATGGTATCGTTGAGCGCTTTGTTTTTAAGATGGTGTTCGCAACTTAGGGATTTCGGACTTCAACATTTATGCGTAATGAGATCTTTGCAGGTGTTATCCGTGGCAGGTAAAGTCTTGTATCATCACTGTGAATCATAGTTTTAAGCAACTTTTCTTATACATACACGCAGTGTAAAATTGCGAATAAATAAATAATTATATATAAAAGCTGTATAGGAAAAGTTGAATTATATAGATCTAATTATATTTGATACAAGAATATATACTAAATAAAATCCATTTTATACAGGTTGCCCATTGCTGACAAGTAGTGGTTTATCCAGTCTGATTCAGCTTCGACACTTACACGAGTTAGAACTAACTAACTGTCCAGGAACATCGCGAGAATTGTTTGATTACCTACGTGAACATCTACCGCGTTGCCTAATCATCGAATAAACGATGTTTAATGAAAATATATCCGCGACAAAATAAGATTCTTTATATGCGAATGTAGATGTATGTGTCAAACAAGGAGTGTTAAGCTGCGAGGAATAGATCTTATAACTGCAGGAATTTCGCAGAAAGCAATACTTTGAATGAAAAACAAAAACGGTATAATTGAAGAGAGCAGTATAAACAGATAAGAAGCAACTGAGACGTCCAAATAATATGAAAGAACAATATGTTTTTTCCTCGTAATGGTCTAAGAAAAAAAACACTAGCCCTCAAAACGTGCAAAATATTAACGCATAGACAATTTTTAATAACGTCCCATGCACTTTCGTTCGTATTTTTTTATTCGGCCATGTAATCACACATTACGGGCATGTAAGATTGCAATTTGTGTCTAATATCGATTAGACGAAGCATAAAAGAGACTCTCATGCCTATGTATTGTAATGATCTTGTACAGAAGAATTGAATTATCTCGATATTGTACATTAGAAGAGATTGATAACGCATCAGAAAGAAGAGAGTCCTTCTTTTTTTGCTTCTAGTAATGTAGAGAAAGCTCGAGTAAACGTATATGGCAAGAGACTCAACAGTTAGGACTGTGATAAATTTATATTGTTCGTAATTCTAATTGGTTCGCATACATTTAAACGATTAAGTCATCCGAGTGCATCCGAGGCACGCACACAAAAGTCGTGAAGCAATTGAGTAATTGTTCGAGTATGTATCGATTATATTTAATTGTTGCTCGATTGCTGATCTCCGCCGAATGCGCCCATTTAAAAAGTGCGCATCGTCCCATTTTTTGCGATCGTAGCTGCAACACATTACACACATGTTGCTTGAAAGAAAGTAGCAAATACCGATTACACAGAAGGTAACATTCCAAGCCATTTTATCCTCAGCAACCTCTATTCATAAATACGTGATTCGTGTTATTTGTTTGACGATACATATTGTAGATGAAGAATTGAGGTTCACTATTTATTGCACCCACAATAATGTGGTAACATCGTCATTTATACGTTACCTTTATATATATATACAAATATATCCCTGTGCAATTAGTGTTTTCTAAATTTAAGACTTTTCGCTAGGTATATATTCTTTGTGGTTTTTGACTAAGTATACATCTATTTAATGTAACATATAATTAGGCAAAATATTTTGCATGCGTTTTAAATGGATAATTTTAACAATTTATATTACGTCGATATATGTATTTATATATCCTTTATTAATATTGTATCAAATAAGTAGTCTATTAATGTATCATAATTTAATGATTAAACTAGTACATCATATTTATCAATTTAATCGAGCGCTGCATGTTTGAGTTGTGTATTAGGACAACAGCAATAATATGCCAAAAAAATACGTCCTAATTTGTCTAAAACACAACTTCAAAAGATGCAGTGTGGCATATATTGTGCAATCAGTATTATATATTTATATATTTTCTAAATTTAAGATGTTTCATTAGCTTCTTTTTTGTCGTTATAAATTAAGTATATATTAATGTAATTAGGTAAACTACTTTGCTAAGAATAATTCTTAAATTTAGAAAACATTTTTTGCGCAATATATCACTACATGTCTAATATCTTTCATAAAATCCATTTTTATAATAAGTTTTATCAGAATGCTATGTATTTTTTATTTACTACAGTCTCGGTAATAATTCTAGCATTCAATTCTAAGATTAATTCTATTAAATTGAGTTATGAAGTAGATGATCTCTCAAAGCAATCTGATAATTGTGTGCAAATATAATTTCTACGTGTTGTCACATGTTTAGCACATATGCCTTTGTACATATTGTACAAATTATACTTGATAATTCTGTTATCAATCAAAACTGAGCATAGATATATCTACACAGGTGGTTATATTGGAAAACTAAATCACATTATGAAATATCATTCACAGATGCAACGTTAACTGACGATACAAAATAATATGATGGAATGTGCTGTAAAATAAAAATTTATTGACCAGAGTTTATTGTATTTTAATCATATCTTTATTTTATTTGGAATTTTCACTATAAAATAAATTATACATCTTTCCACCAGATAAGTAAACCTAAGCCAGGCTCGTCGATTGATCCCTATTAAATATATTGATATTGAGAAGATTAAAAATTACATATTGATTAATATAACATTAAAAATTCATAAATACACTTACATGTAAAATATACGGTGCTACATTAGTTTCTGGCATTTCTCCTACATCACGCGCATTAACTGTAGATGGTAAAGGTGCCTCTGCAAAAATCTCTTCCACTACCCTGAATCGTATTGCATCTCCTAAAATTAAATATCTTAATTTTATATATGTGACTTATATTTGAGCCAATATATATGCTAATTCTAATTGCATTCATGATATACCTGTTTCCATATATAAATTATGTTCCTTTCCATCTTCAGTCTTATATACCCAGAACCACATTTGTTGTGTTTGATTAAAATGTGATGGATGTTGTAACTTATGAGGTGGTATAATTATATCTTCAAAGAATCCTAATGTAACTGTAACAAGATATAAAAGCTAATAATACTAAGATTTAAATGCTAATAATAACAAAAACATGTGCAATGAAAATCTGAATTAGATAAGCTAAATTAAATCAGATTGTTACCATGTACACCCTCGGAGCTGGAACTACGAACTTTTCCTACTAATATTTCTTCTATCCATGGACGGAACACGATAAATCGAAACGTCACTTTTGTATGTGATGCTCCGTCTCCTGGAAAAATATATGATTCTTCGATCTTTGTAATGTCATGCAACACAATGCAAAGCCCTACATCCTTGTAAACCTGTGTAACATTTAAAATAATTTTGTCATATGTAAGTTATAGTAGATTTACCCTAATAATGAGAAATAATTTATATGTACTTTATTAGCGAGCTTTTTGTTTAATTCGTCAGCAACTACATCATTTAATTTATATTTGAAGTTGCTCGGTGATATTCTAACAGTGTCTTTTAATTCCGCAAGCACAAACATTTCTTCTTCTTCTTCTTTATAATTTAGTGGCCTATATAAGCCAGACTTGGCTTCATAAACATTTCTGATATTTCATACCACGTGTTTATACACAAATTCAGGGCTCAAGAAGCTCCATAAAAAAATACATATGTCAATAACAGTCTCAACCAATCAGAATGATCCTCGACAAACTCATTAGAAGGTCATTGATTGGCTACAAAACAGAGACTAAAGAAATTCCCTATATTACAGCCAATCAATGCGCTTAAAAAAGTTCGTACGACAAATGTAATATCATCTTTACTCACCCTACAAAAAGGGGTTGATGATCGTCAATATAGCATTTATTTGTTGTGTGACGTATGCGATGTATGTGCATGGAAATTTGTCAAGGCATGTGCGGAAATTATTGTTATTCGATCGAGTTTAATGACATTTAAATGGCACGATCGAATGCAAGAAAGAACGATGTTTGATCAACGTTAAATTGAATGTCATTTTTAAGGAAGAAATTATATTCGAGGTGATCGTGAGAAAAGTGTCAGTGATAAGAAAACTGTAGGTTACATAGGTTGCTGGCACCATGACACAATCAACAACAAGCGGAACTTCTTCACGACGATATATGAGGGAACACGAAGTGCCCTCCTCGTCACGTTACATGGACAGCGAATGGGAGTCCAAGGAGGTAATTTGTTTTCAAATTCTATATTTTGCTCTTCATAGATTAATCAGAAAATTATTTAATATTTTTTTCATGGTAAATATCAAAATAATATTCTAAGGATCAATATAATTCATGCTTACAATATTCAGAATTTTTATCATTTAATCTTTAAATTTATGTTGTATATATAATTATGAATTGAAGTTTTTAGTAATACTTTACTATTGTTTTGTAGTATTATAAATAATATTTCTTAAAAGATTCAATTGTGTTTATCAATTAATTTAATTACTATGTGTTTCCTTGTCAAATAGGCTTTACGACAGAGGGAACTTGAAGAGGCAAGAGCACGAGCGGCTCAAATGGAAAAAACAATGCGATGGTGGTCAGATTGTACAGCTAATTGGCGTGAAAAATGGAGCAAAGTTCGGAATGAGAGAAATGCAGCTAGAGATGAGGCAAAAGCTCTCAGAGCAAAATTAGAAATTGCTGTCAAAGATGCTAACAGTTTCAAACATGAGACTCAAGAATTGGAATTGCAAAATGAGCAAATGAAGAAGGAAATGGAAAAGATACATATGATACTCTTGAAACATGCTGGGCAATTTGACCAACAGATTTTTACTATTTTAGAATCAGACCCACAATTGAGAGCTACTTTGGGGTTAGATGAACAGTTAGAGTTTTATAGTAATATTGAACCTAGTGATACATTAAATACACAAAGGAATATGCTATCCTGTAAAACTTTACATGAAGCATCAGATGTTGCTTCAGGAGGTCATAACATCATGCCAGAAAGAGATATTGAGGAGTATGTTTTGCAAGGTGCAGTACCAAAACATGCAGTTGAATTGTATAAGGAAAGTGCTAGTAATTCACTAGACAAAAATATCACGAAACTAGTTGTGGATAGTAACTCTAAAAAAGATTCATTAGACAAGCAACAATTGTCTTTAGATACATATAACAAAGAATCTCTAACTCAGAAAATGTCAACATTGCAACTTAAATTGGAAGAAGCAACAAAAACTATTTCTGTGGAAAGGGAGTAAGTTTATACAAATTAAAAATTAATACATAAAAGTAATTAATAACACATGCAAATTTATTTTATTTTTCTTTTTTAAGGGAAAAAGATTCTTTACATCGTACTGTGGAAAAATTGAAAGCTGAACTTAAACAATTAAGAGATCAATGTGAGGAATTATCTGAAAGTAGAGCAGATACGATGAGAGAATTATCAGAGTTAAAAGAGCGATTTCAACTAGAACTAAATGATGAACATATCGCCGATTTAATAGACGATACTGGTAATGGAGAGGGGATGGATCGTCGTTTAAGTGAATTGAGAACTGAAGTAAGCTATTGACATTATATACACTTGTAATTATATTTTTCTTGAATGGAAGAATGTCATTTAAGAAAATTTGTTAAATTTTATTTATGATCTATTTGTCTTACACTATATATAATTTTATATTTTTATCAAAATTTCAGCTAGAGAGACTTCAAGTTGAAAATGCAGCAGAATGGAGTAAAAGAGAGAGATTAGAGACTGAGAAAATTTCCTTAGAACGAGAAAACAAGTTGCTTCGCCTGAAATTGTATGAATTGCAAGAGAAAGTAGAATCGCGACGACCACGTCCAGTGTCTACAGCTGACACAGACACAAGGCAATTGCAGCATGAAATCCTAGTTCGCAACATGGTTGGTTATAATTTTATTTCAAACTAAAATATTTCTCAAAATCGTTATTTATTATTTTATCTTTTTCATGCAATATTCGTAGGTACTACTTGAAGTAAAGCAGTATCAAGCGGCGTTAAAACAATCCTTAGCAGAAAAAACAACAGAATTATCACACGCGATGAGACGATCCGAACAATATGAAGTAGAGGTGAAGCGAGTTAGAGCGAGAGTTGAGGAGTTGAAGAAAGAACTTGCTGCTGCTCAAGATGAGGTCGACGCAGCTACGAGCAACGTACGAAAATTACAACGAACTAATGAAGACCTTATGGAACAATTGGAGTCTGCAAATGTGCAATTGGAACACTTCAGAAATAGGTAAGTAGGATAATCAATTCAAATATCCAATAGTTTTCTACAATTGGATCTAAAAAATATATATTTTATCAGCAAAAGCGAATCGTGTACAGCGGTCACTGATGCAGAAGGAGCAGAGAGCAAAAATTCCAAGTAAACAATTCCGATGAATATGCTGAAGGTATGTTATTAACTTAATAAATTGCTTTTAGATTTAATATAATAATTAAATAAAAATATATAAATTGTGTGTGTGTGTGTGTGTGTGTGGAAAAATATATTAATAAAATTAGATTTTAAATTGAAATGTTTATCAATTATTAGATTAAACTATTAATAAAAATTAGACAACATAAATTAAAAATATATTATTTATTGTTTCAGTTTATGATCGACAACAAGCCTAGTATTTGCTCGTATCGATAGCGATGTGTTTAAGTCAAATAATGAAAATGCAAATAAATGATCTCTCAGTGGGCCTAAAGTATGCAATTTAATGTTTTTGAGGTAGGGGGAGGAGGGGGCAAATTTATCTATTAAGCGTGACGCTTCGACAAATTATGTCAAATTATTGTGAGTTACGCGTTTACTGTGTTTAATAGCAAACGTAAAACATCAATACTTCCAGTAGCATATATAAGTAAATGTATTATATATTGCTGATATATTTTAATGTAATATGCAATTTTAATTACTTGTCGATTTTTAAGATTGATGAGATGAATTATGTTGCAGTATTTATTTTTTCAGCAATCATTTACTCAACTTAAAGAGATTGTGTTCATCTTTCTCATGATTTTCTGTAAGTAATCATTTTATTGTTGCTTATATATAAAATTTTTACTTTTATAAATTTTATGAACATACATTTTTTTTAATTTATTATTGAGGCGTATTTTGTAAACAATTTACATTCCGCGTTATTGTTTGATATGTTCTTTTTTTAAACTGGTGTATATAAAGATATATTACGTGTATATTATATATATGATATATATATATATATATATATATATATATATATGTATATATATATGTATACACATAATGAAACTGTATGTTTCGTCGCCTCGAAAAAAATTAGTGAAATCGATTAATGAGATACAATATGTACAAGATACGATACCTGATATTTATAATGAAACTTTTTATGTGAATATAAAAATCTATGTAATATAAGTTAAAGCAATACTCCATCTGTATGTTTATCATATCGTAGAATACTGAATTGTAGATAGAAATATAAAACGGAACAAATCTTCATACATCACAATTAACTACATCAAATTTTGAGAGAAAAAAATAGAAGATTGTTATTAAGTATATTTCTTAACGACGAAAAAAAAGAAAAAAACATTTTTCTTCTAATTAAAATGTATTTTATTGACAAAACTTAATAAATAGTAGCAATTGATGTAGCAATAAATGTTTATTATGCTATATATATTAATAATTTTTCAGTAAAGAAATTATCAAAGTATATACAACATTTACAACTTTCAAGCCTATGAATTTTCCTTAAAAAATAATGTAGTTTTTTGATCTATAAGATTGAAAGTTTTCTGTTGTATCTGCTTTATACTTTCACATTAATGTTACTTGCTGAAAGCTGCTGAAGAGTGCGAAATATTACCACTTAAATTTATGATAATAAATTTATAGAATATAAATTTATAGTGCAAAATATGGCGCGCGCACGAAAGCAAATAATTAATCAAACATGATCTAATCTATACTGTAAGCAACTTACTAAAATTTTATTTTCATGTTACAGGTGAATAGAAAAATGATTTAACGCATGATGCTTTACAGAAGCGATTATCAGAAATAATTAACGTCGCGTTCCACGACGAATCAATCTTGGCCATTCAACATTTCATCGGCGTGCCATCGGGATACGTCGGCACTTTTGGCTTGCAGATCTTCGTTCTGCCGTTGGAGCCGTATACAACGTTGCAGGAGAACGTAAAATATCCGCAGGTAGAACTTTTGGTATAATATCGATGCTCGTATTTTCTCGGCTCGTTGCTGCCGTTTAATTTACCGGCAAAACTATTAGTCACAGTATAATAACTCGGTTTCACAGTTGGAGTAGGTCTCACCCGCTTATCGGAAGATACATTTTGATTAACAGAAGAACCTTGATTCTTACTGTTCGATGTGTATCGATTGACGTAACGTTCGTGATTGGGTTGATGAAGCGATCTAGTCTCCGTGACAGGCAACTTGGTGTTATTTAGATCCTTTGGTACTAAAGATACGGTCTGCGATTGAGACGTGCCTTCACCTTGGGCGATAGTCTTAGTACCAGAAGTTGATACTACTCTACCGCGAAAACCAGGCGGGATGGTATATCCTGACACAGACTGTCCTGGTTGCAAAATATCACCCGTTCGCGGTGCGTTCGAATCTTGACTGACGCGAATATCGTATTGATTTCCTTTGGCAACTTGTATTGTTTGTGTTTGACTGTGACTTTGCGGTTGAGTAGGTTTACTGAGTTTTTGATAATCACTACTTGACAATGTTTCCGAAAACTTCTCTTGGAATGTCAACCTTGAATCTGTGGAATAATTGTCTTCGTCCGCGTACTCGTCGTACTCCTCGTATGTCGCATCATCCGTTCGCGGTTTCTCAGTAGTTTGTACCTTCTTATCACTGGATGGATTGTCTTTGGAATTCACAATAACAATCTGTTTCGAGGTCGAGCTACTCTGCAAGCCTTTTTCGCGATCGTCTTGCTTATTCTCGTAGTTTTGGCTTGCTGACGAACTGTCGACGTTCGCCGGTTTCTTCAAAGAAGCATCCGATTTGAAAGACTTGAAGAGTTCAGAGTCAGTGATATTAAAGTTAAAGGGTTTTCGTGATGATGCGGCGCCGGATCCGGAACCAGCCTGAGCCGCGCCGGTATAGGTGATACCGTACTGGAAAGAACCTTGTAGTTGCGACTGGGATTGACCTTGATGAATGCCACTTTGGGCCGATGCTGTTCCGCTACCGCGGAACGGTGTCATGTTATTTTCCACTTTTTCATCTTCCTCTTTCAAGTATGGCTGGAAGCCGATTTGCGCTTGACTGGAGGTGCTGCCTTCGCCGTTGGCTTGAGCATCCGCCATTCCGCCTTTGGAGCTCGCTTGTACCTGAGAATTAGTACCGTGATTCCACCCACTGCTCTGCGCGTTTGTCGACGTAGCTCCGGAATCGGAGTCCAATTGAACTTGCGCCTGACTCTTTCCGCGATCTGCGATGCCTTGCGCATTGCTGGTAGCTCCTTCCTTTCCACCACTTATCTCGGTCTGAGCGCTTTTGTTGGCATCGCTGGTACCAGCTTGGGCAGAGAAGGTACCTGAACCACTGTATGTGCCCGTCACTTGTGATTGGGCTGTACCCGAACCATATTTACCTTGAGCAGATGCGCTCGCTTGAGTACCCGAGTCAATTTGCTGCACAGAGCTCGATGCCTGTGACTCAGCACCGTTATCTATCACTGGTCCTCCAACTTGCAATGCTTCTCCGGTTCCTACGGTTTCGCCTATTCCTGGGTAAGGTCTTTGTGGATACTGATCAGTACTTATTCCTTGACCAGGGTACAGACCAGGATATTGTCCAGTGATACCATTTCTTATTTCTCCAGTTGTCGCTTGACCTTCTGATGTGCCTATTGGGTATTGAACGCCTCCTGGTATGCCTGGTCCTCCGGGAATTCTAGTGCCTATACCTGGATATTGTGCGCCTGGATATTGTGCGCCTGGATATTGTGCGCCTGGATATTGTGCGCCTGGATATTGTCCGCCCGGGTATGTTGATACTTGACCAACTCCATTAGGATAGATTGCTTGACCGGGATATAAAGTAGCACCGGGAGAAATAACTTGTTGCGTACCACCAGGATATGTTGTACCATCTCCAGGATACGTCCCTGGTATAGTAGCACTTCCAGGATATGTACCACTCGGATACGTAACTTGAGCACCTGGTATACCACCTACTCCTTCAGGAATTCTAGATTGAATAGTATCACTAAGACCTGGATAAATCGCTTGTCCGTCTATTGTTCGACCACCTGGATAAGTTACTATTTGTGTACCAGTCCCTACTGAACCTGTAGTCGTAACTACTTGTCCTGGCAATGTACCTGATGGACCGCTACCAGAATAAAACACACCAGTCTGTTGTCTATCACCAGGATAAATTGCTTCTTGACCTACTGTTCTTCCTGGAGCAACGCCGCCAGGATATGTTTCAGCACCTGTTCCTGAGACGATACCAGGTCGGACACCGCCAGGATAGATTTCAGCTCCGGGATAAATTCCTGCTTCAGAAACTCCCGGATATGTTACGCTTGGTAAGCCTTTCCCAGGTGGCACACTACCTGGATATGTATTAACGCCGGTAACAGCAGTAACACCCGTCGTTATTGAAGTAGTTACTCGTCCTGGTTGGGTTCCAGGTTGATATATTCCTCCTGGATACGTCCCTACATCTGTCCCAACTCCTGTCGTTATTCCAGGTATAACTTTTCCAGGCTGGATACCTCCGGGATATGTTGCACCAACTCCTGGAGTAACAGTGCCAGGTTGAACGCCTCCAGGATATGTTACACCAACTCCTGGAGTCACAGTGCCAGGTTGAACGCCTCCAGGATATGTACCAACTCCTGGAGTTATAGTGCCAGGCTGGATACCTCCAGGATATGTTGCACCAACTCCTGGAGTTACAGTGCCAGGCGGAACTCCTCCGGGATATGTTGCACCAACTCCTGGAGTTACAGTGTCAGGCTGAACACCTCCGGGATATGTTGCACCAACTCCTGGAGTTACAGTGCCAGGCGGGACAGCTCCAGGATATGTTGCACCAACTCCTGGAGTCACAGTACCAGGCTGAACACCTCCGGGATATGTTGCACCAACTCCTGGAGTTACAGTACCAGGCGGAACACCTCCGGGATATGTTGCACCAACTCCTGGAGTTACAGTGCCAGGCGGGACAGCTCCAGGATATGTTGCACCAACTCCTGGAGTCACAATACCAGGCTGAACACCTCCGGGATATGTTGCACCAACTCCTGGAGTTACAGTACCAGGCGGAACACCTCCGGGATATGTTGCACCAACTCCTGGAGTCACAGTTCCAGGTCGAACACCTCCTGGATAAGTTCCTGGACTAATTCCTGGGGCACCGGGATAAGTGCCGACTCTTCCGGGAATTACACCGCCTGGATATGTTATCTGTCCACCAGGAGTAACACCGTCAGGATAACGTACGCCTGCTCCAGGACGGGTAATAACAGGTGCACCGCCAATACCTGGAGCTTGTCCATATCTATCCGTCGGCGGAATCTTTATTTTATCCGGACCTTCCTCTATACCGGGATAACCAGGATATCCAGGACAATCTTCACAACCTGGACCACTTGACGACATACTTTGTGCTTGACCCATACCACGGCTGCCGCCTGGAAAACACGATGTGTAAGGTATTTAATGTTTTGAAAAAAAAACTATTTTAATTTTTTAATTTTAATAATATTAATAATTTTAATCATTAAATTTCAACCAATAAAATTCTTATTTACATATTCAGTAATGTGTCTAATAATTCTAATTTTGACTCATCAAAATTTAAAGTCGCAGAAATTCTTTCAATTGAATTTCCTGATTAAATTATTATAATGATGTAAAGTTATTATATAAATAATAATTAACTGTACTTACTAACTACTGCGCGTGAAGATTGCTGAGTAGCTTCAGCTTCCGCCTTGCCTTCCTTCTGTTCATGATTACCGAGATTTAAATATTGAGATTGCGTTTGTCCACGAAATTTCCCTCGAAACTGATTTGTCTGTCGACGAACTAGTCGATTTCGATTAGAATTTTCCTTCAACTTCTCTCGTTGTTCGAGTTGAATTTGTCTCTTTGCTCGAGCTTTTAGTGGTGTTAAAACCACATCAGCTATTTGTCTTGGAAAAATATCATTTTCGTCTACAGGAATTTCGTTTAGAAAAGGATCGAGAGTTTGTCCAGGTATAGGTTTATTTGTCTGCAATAAGATGATTCTACGTCCATTGCAGAAATCAACAATTCGGCCTCCAACAAGTTGCCATGCCTATTTATATTTAGAATATTAAATTATAGTCATATTATAGTCATATTTCTATATATAATTTAATTAAATAATATTCAATTTTTAATATATTTATTAAGCACCAGGGACATAATATATGTATAATCACCATTATACGAAAAACAATATAAATTTGTTATATGTGTTAATTTTTTTACAGGTACGTAAAAATCTTTAAAAAAATATTTATAACTTTTTAAATTTATAACATGAATATATTAAATTGATTATTTTTCATTACCTCTAATCTTGTAAGGGCTGTCGATGCATACAGTATTTTTGGTTGCCGTTTTTTATGTGATACATTTTGATCTTGCTTTATATTTTCGAGATAGCAATCGTTCTCCTTCCTGCTCTTGTATGCAATGAATTGCTGTTTTTAAAAGAAGTTTCTGTTAATCTATATTTTAATATTAAAACGATATAATTTACTTACCGTTACGTTATCAGTAAAAGACCATTGCTTTTCCATATTCCTCGCTTTATGCTCATTATGAATAGAACGATCAAAACGCGTCTTTTCCTATGAATATTGATGTCATTTATATATTAATCATTAGCATCTTACTATTTTTTCAAAAATAATGTGATTATATAATTTTGTTAATTAATATTAAAATATAAATGACATATATAATATTAAAATATCCTGAGCTATAGAAAAAATATCTTATTTTATCTATATCTTGTTTTTATATATTTTAAACTTGATAAAAATTATCTTTTATAGCAACGCATTAAATATTGAAATTTTAATATTTTAGCAAAAAGGGGTGAAAGAAGACAGCATTACATAGAGAATAAATTAAGCATACGCACATATACAATCTCTATCGTTTGCTTTATCTCATGAACTTTGATCTTCAAATCTTTCTTAAACGATCTTTCTAATCGTATGCATCACGGTTACAGCATGTGTGACCTGTGCCAATAACCTGCCACAATGGAATATTGTAATTGGAGCGACCGATTTATTAATATTAAATTCAAAACGATGCGTTTTGAAAGTATATTTTAAGAAACATTCCCTTTTTAGAATATTATAATTTCAATATGGACTTAAGTATTATTTATATGTACATTTCGCATATTTTATAACACATGTTCTCTATAAAAATAAGTATAATTATTTGCATTAAAATATTTTTTCTGTTCTAGTTATAATTGTTTTGAAATTAATATAAGTCAATTTTTTAAATATCAAAAATATCTCACAGAGTGAATGGAATATCGAGCAAAGTTACTTAGTTGTAAGAGATCACATTTCTACGTTTAACGTTGCGAGTAGATGATATATGTCGGCAATTTGCTGAATTTCACAACGCTGCGCGAAATATGGCAACGAGAAACGTCCTAAATCACAATTAAAAAGGAAAGATAAGCAGCTATCTATTACTTTGAACAGCGAATAAGTGTCGGTGATATTTATAAAAATATCACTTTCTATAAATCTACGATAACCCGATTAATTTTGCAATAATAGAACAATTTGAATGCTTTCTCTGAAAATATTAAAAAATGAATTGCATTTAGAATCTTGTATACATATTAAAATAATCATGCATTAACGAAATTCGCAAATTAATGTAAAAATAATTAATCTCAAAATTTTTTATACAAACTAAAGTAGTAAATCAATCAAAATTAATATTGGACGCTAGTGGTGAAAATAAACTTGGCAAAATTGATTTCGACGTAACTAGCAATTTTATTCAATACTTTCACGACGTTTCGACCATTTGGTTGTGGTCCTTATCAATAAAGAGAATTCCATCAATTAAAATGAGATTAACGCAACATAAAACCGATCTTATTTAAAATTAATAGTTAAAAGAGGAACACATGGGACGTGTTCCTCTTTTAACTATTAATTTTAAATAAGATTGGTTTTATGTTGCGTTAATCTCATTTTAATTGATGGAATTCTCTTTATTGATAAGGACCACAACCAAATGGTCGAAACGTCGTGAAAGTATTGAATAAAATTGCTAGTTACATCGAAATCAATTTGCCAAGTTTAAAGTAGTAAATGTCAATTAATTTGATGTATTAACTTTTGGAAAATTTAAAATAATACATAATGTTTTATATAAAATTAATTCACAATATACTTTTCTTTTTTAAATATACACAAGTTTTTAAATATATTGTATAATTCACAATTAAAACTTGCCATCTCTTGAAACACTGCAAACACATTAAAATTATTGAAAGAAATGTGATAAAAATATGCTCGATATTCTTTCACTGTCGAAAGGAAAGCATTGTCAAGAAAAACTTACATGATATTTCGCGAGTGCCATACTCGCGAGGAAAATTAGGATAATGGGGTACGGCTGCATGATTCGAATCTTCTGCGAGATCTTCTCCACGACTGACACGGACCAATGTTTCAATGATGATCCAACCCTGCTAGATCATAACTCCCACTGACTCTTCTTCCTCTACGTCTCTTCTGGTCTCTTCTTTGGTCTCATCGTAGTTGGTCCCGCAAAGCGTCGCTGAGAATCATTAAGAAACCATGAAGCCACGAGGCGGGAGAAAGAATCGCTCTGGAAGAAGTTCTGAGAATGTGCGTTGTGATGTAAGTGCGTATAAACGTTTGTATGTATTATGTTATCTCGTTGGTCGTTTCTGGTTAGTCTTGTCAGTGCGGATCTCATTACCATAAGATATGCGCTCATGACTGTTACTAACTTGGGGTATCATCATATTGCAGTTAGAGAAAAAAATTGGAAAATTGAATCCGTATATATTCCCATTATGTAAAGGCGTCGACAAGGTTTTATTGTTAATTAGGCTTATATACATGTTAAAAACTCTTAGACTGAAACTAAATTTTTCATCTGGCATAATACAATAATGAAAGATTATTTTTTGTTATAGTTAAGATTACAATATATTATATAATTTTTTTATTATTTTACTAATTATATATTTAGACATATTTTTATGAAAGGTAGAATCATCTTTCAGAGATAACACACAACCCAGATCTTTTTTTTGCTTAATTTACTTCACATTATTAATGAAAGTTAATTTACTGATACAGCTTTTAAATATATGTATTATATAATTTTTCATTATTTTACTAATTACATATTTAGAAATATTTGTATGAGAGGCAGAATCATGTTTCAGAGCTAACACACAACCTAGATCTTTTTTTCCCTTAATTTACTTCACATTATTAATGAAAGTTAATTTACTGACTGAATTCTTACATATCTTACTTTATGATACTAATGAGTAAACATTTTTATTTTTGTTTAAATCGTAAATGTTTATCAATTAAGATTAAGGAGTGACATGGAGTTAATTTGACATGATTGATTTATATAAGACTATCGCTGTGAGTTAGTCATTTTTGCTTTCGTTGGCCTAATTATTGAGTTCAATCTATTTGTTAAACACAGTTAGTCGTTGTTTATCCTACGACCAAGCGTAACTAGTGATCGTACGGTTCATCGGCATGATAAAGTGAATTCAATAAGTAAAAAGGCGAAAGAATATTGAACAGAAAGCTTTATGCGAATGTATGTACTGCAATCAGATAGATATACGAAATTAAATTATTCTGACACAGCTTTTAAATATTATATGTAATATTTGCTTTGTTGATTCTATCTTACATCTTATCACACATTTTATTTTCATATTAATTATATGTTCATATATCAATCTATAATATATATTCCAGCTACATTGATTAAAGAACTCTCACTATGCATTAAAAATTTATAATTCAAATTAAAAACAAAAATTGTATATTTTTAAAAAATCTTTAGAAATATAAAAAGAAGAAAGATATTAAAAAGGAAAGACAGGACAAATGTAAAGTATTAATTCAAACGTATATCATTTCGTATATTATCCTCTCATTACGATAAGACAAGATTTTTACAATTCGTACAAAAATGTAGGTAAATATTTTATGTAGGCACTCCAGTGTACAAATAGCACGTATAATACATACAACAGGCGTATAATAAGTCTAACTATCTAAAAACGACTATACCAACATCTCTCTCGCGTTCAAATTTTAATATGTAAAAGTGGGAATGCTATTTACAACGTGCGGTCAAACACGACTACGTCTTAAACACTAGATTGGGATTTCTATTCTCATCCATAGGCAAATCTATCGGATCTCGAAATGACTAGGACGCGTTCGAATCGCTCGTTAATTATAATCTTTTAGAACACGAGCAAATTATTCGGCAAACGCGACACAATCGGTCTCTCTTGTTTGCGCGTGACACATTATTATACTTATATGAAATCTTTATTATAACCGTCGCCATTCGCATAATCTTGCCGTCCCTCGAATCATTGAAAAAGAGACACGTCATCGATTTTTTCTAGGTAATATCCGCAATTTAAAATATAAATTGCAAAATTGAGACTTGCCACGACGGCAGATTGCGTTCGCAATGACGGAACGGATTCGACTAGTTCGACACTCTGATCGGATACCAATTTTTTTTTGGTATCAAAAAACGAAAGAAGAAGGCTTATTTATCATGGCTATAATTACTTCGCTGATGGAGAACAGACAACCTACGTTACGGCTCTAAACGATGCTCGATTGGATAACGTGTGTTGGTGCTGTATGATTTTCTATATAATGGTATATACAAAATTTATTACATATAAAATATCCTAATAAAAGATCATCGGACTTAAAATTTTTATGATATGATATAATATATATATATATATATATATATATATATATATAAAATATAAATAATTTTCGCATTGTCTGGAGCCTGTTTTTTGCTTTTCGCAACCGGTTGCGCAATTCCGAATCACAGATACACTTTCTCGCAATTTTGTGAACGTCTCAATGCTTGCATACTAATGCTGCAGGAGATGCAAAGTTTTTTCGACACAACGAACTTGCGCCGAATGTTGTATCGTTTCCTTCGATATTTTAAGACCGAACTCCACTCGGCTACATTTTATATTTTTACACACATTCATTGGGATTCATTCATTATGGAACTTGTCGGTTATATATACGTATCTACATTTTGTATAAAGTCGATAGCTGCCTCGAAGAGCCTCGAACCTTTGTTATTTAATTCTAAAATAATAACATGTAAGGCATTGCAATTCTGTCCGCGTATCGACGATTAATTTCAATTATTTAACACCGTATGACAGCTACGTCTTTAAATAGATAAGGTCACAAGTCTGGCGTTTAACAAACTCTCTTGTTGGAGGCGATCTTATGTCTTGAAAATTTCTTTTTAAGTTCTCATTTGCATAATATATTAATCAATTCTTCCGTCGAAACTATATTGCTGTATCAAATTATACACACGCTGAAGAACACGATCCAATATTTATAAAATACGGTGTTATACCAACGGATCGTAAATTAACGGCTTATATAGATTTAACATTATGACTAATTACTAGATGGTCCCTAATTCTCGGAAGATGCTTGGAATAGTATCTGTCACATGCTCTGTTGTTTTTACTAATTCGTAACTTTGTCTTGTCAGAAATAATCAGCTTATTCAGATTATTAAAAATAATATTCGTTCGATCGCAATAAAAGAAGGCTGAATACAGGACAATCTCTGATAATATCTGTAAAAACATCATTGAAAGTATTTACGAAATTATTATTATCATGTATGTGATTAAAAAAAATAATATTTCAATTTTAATCATATTTTTTGATAGGAAAAGATTCACTCTAAACTAATTATTATTTTTAAAAAACTGATTTAAAAAAACGTAATAATTTTAGAACATTCTGTAAAATCACTTTTCTAAATCAAACGATACAAATTAATCGCCTTTGTCAATTTCTCAATTAAATCTTTTCGTAATAATCTCATAAGAAACAGTGACCAGATTATTATAGTGAATAATTTCAATAAATGATTTTTAAAAATCTTGAACCTTCAATTTTTCAGAAAGTCAAAATCTGCAATCTTCTATAAGAAAATCCTTGGAATCTCTGCGAATTTCTAATCGAGTGAATTCGAGAGAATTTCTCGTGGAATTTCAAACGAAAGTAAGTATAATAATAAAGTCGAATTTGAATCTCTTTAACATGACTGATTTGATCTAATTGCAGGTGTCGACCGACCGATTTTTAAGCGATGGCCAGGTTTAAAGTCATCCCGGCGGGTCTCGAAAAGGCCGAGGATCTCGTCGGATCGGGATAATCGTACGTAGTCGAGGAACTCTTAACGTCGTTTTCGAAACGTAGATGCAGATGCTCCGGATTGGGAGATATCACCGACGTCCTGATAACCATCCTGGATTCGTATTCCGAATCCTTCGTCGCCGAATCGGGGCTCTGCTTCTCCTCATTCGGATCGTTCGGACAGGGCGTCCTCTCTTTGCAGGATCGCTTCGACGGTGTCGCCGCGTCCGTCGTCCTGGTATGCCTGATGATCGCGGAGAATGCCGAGGACGAGCCCTTCTGATCTCGCTCGAGTCCTAATCGAGGAACTATGACGCTGGTGGGCGACGATAGTAATGGAGCACTCGATTTCACCGATAGCGATGTCTGCTGTTCGATTTGATCGGACTTCTCCGTGGACGATCGGTGATGGGCACGCATGCAAGATGACTCCTCGTGCTTGTAAAGGTAAGATTTTAAAGCGAAAGCCTTGCCACAGCGACTGCACACATGAGGTTTAGTATTCGAGTGCGTTTGTATGTGAGCTCGTAAGTTTGATTTGTCGGCAAAAGCTTTGTTGCAAATGGTGCACTTGAAGGGCTTCTCACCTAAAAAAAAGAAAAATGATTATCAAAAATATCTAAGTTTTTTTTACATGATCAATTTATCTAAAAATATATCTTATTCTACAATAAATAATATAACTGCTTAAAAGAAAATTCCAAAATTTTAGATGGCAATTACTTAATCACTTAAAAAAATACTAGTAATACAAAAAAAATGTCCAATACTTTCTCTCTAACAAAATATAAAATATATGAAAAATATATAAGTAGAATATAGAAGAAAATATAATTTTTTGAAATAAAATTGAAAGGTAAGAAATGTAAAGAATATTGTCCAATTAAAGGATTTTACATTTTTCTATTTATTCTTTTCTTTGATTTTATGATTTCAATTAACTATATTCTCAGTACACCACTTGAAGTGCTGAAGGATGTAGATATATTACCACGTGTCAACTAATCTTACACTGTATCTATAATTTGCATTCGGAAATAGGTGCCGTATTTCTGTGCCAAAATCACATTGCGAATGATTAATTTGAACTTGTCTTCACTGAAATTGTCCGTTAAACTCTGTAGTTTCCTCAAAATAGAATTTGCTTTATATAGTTATTTACGTAATATCTATTATTGTAAGAGTACACAATCGATCAGAGACTAAACGACAACTCTGACAAACAGTTTTATTGAATTAAATTAGAAAGATGAAAAAAATTAATTCTTTAGAGTTTAATTTTCTTTAATACATATACTAACAATTATACATGTTAATTTTGTAAAATATTTTATTTAGAATAATGTGGTATATCTTTCGAATATCAGAAGCATATACCTGTATGCGTGCGTATGTGTCCTTGCAGAAGCCACGGTCTGGAGAAGCACTTGCCGCAATAATGGCACTTGCATCCCTGATTATGGGTCCTCACGTGCATGCTGAATGCCGGCATGCTGACGTAGACCTTGTCGCAATGTGGACACCTCCTAGCCTTTTTATCACCCAATGATCTGTGCGTTTGACGATGTCTGGCCAGATTCGACGAGGTCGAGTACTTCTTGCCACAATCAGGACATTCGTGATCCTCGTTTTCCTCCGCCTTGAGCTCCGCGGCACCGATCGTCCTTCGAGTTTGAGACACGCTGGATGATAACGATACTGGCGACGGATCTACGTCGACATTGGAAACAATCGGTACTTTTGAGAAACTCGGCTCTTCCTGCGAGGAGCAGGAAGGATGTCGCGGTGAAAGACGAATCCCCAAGGTGGAATTCTCTTCGGATCGACCCTCCAGGATCTCCCTCTCAGTCTCGATTCGCTCGAAGAAGAGTCTCGTCCGTTCACCCAAGACTTGGTCCTGGTTTCCTATTATCTGGACAGTAGATCGAGATGTCAGAGTCCTGCTGGTCTCTGCAGGGTACTGTGCGACCTTGGGCGACACCGGTCGCTGATAGATGACATTGCTATGGTGAATCAGGGTGCCTGCCGCCGCCGCCAGACTCACTTCCGCCAGCTTCGTCAGATTGTACAGCTCTTCAGGGCATTCGGACGATGTTTCACTGCCACACTCGCTGGCGCCATCAGAAGTTGGCTGACCGCTGCTGTAATCGGCCAACCTCACGCTTCTCTCGGGACTGAAATCTGAGTGAAAATGAAAAAGGGTAATTATTGAAATATCTTATTGTTAGTAATTTCTTAATCAATATTTTTTATCATTAAATTTTTTTCAACAAATATTAATTTGCGACAGGTATCATAGATTAATATTTTAACTATCTTTTTAATCAACGAATTAATATTCTTTTCATATTTGGAAAAAATAATTTCTGTGCTTTGGAAATTTCTCGATAGTTTAAAATGATGTAAACTTCAATTAATGATACTCGGTTTAGATTACAAATTCTTGATGCAGATAAAGAAATAAAATTAAAAAGATTAACTTTAATATTTTTAATTTCTAATTGGTTTTATACTGAAATAATTCTTACATAAATAAATCTCGTATTTATATATTTAATGTTACATTTTATTACGCATTTTTATGAGAATATTTATCAATTATCATTTTTTTTGCAAATTGTACCAGAGTACCGTTTCAAGTGGCGAGTCTTTTAATAACTTCCGACTGATTGGCAGGAAAACTCGATGTACGACGTACACCTTCGAAAGGGGAAAAGCTAGTTGCTCCGTTTTCGGAGAGAACGGAAATAGAATCGTATCGCAACCCCCGCTTGTCTGTCCTTAGCATACCGCGTTTATTCTATGTATTTCTTAGTACCGTATACATGAACACGCGTTTGTGAGGAAATTTGCCTGTCTGTTTCATGGTGAGATTGACGGCATGCGTCATAGTGGACCCTGATGACGCATCTAGTGTTTCCTATTCTTAAATTCGCGCGATCCACTATCTTAATAACGAAGCAACTAGTAAATTTTCTTGATTTTAATTCAGTCGAAGAAAAGAGAATTTTTATGTATGTAAAAATCCAAATTTTTTGACATCGTGAGTTGTTTTTTTTTACATTTTTAAGTCCAGTGAATTTTTTCAGAGTTTAATAAATAATTAGGTATAAAATTTATTTCACGAATAAAGTTTTATTGTTGCATAAACTTCTTGCAGAAGATTCTTGAGAAATATTAATTGAAGATTGTATATATCATAAATCAGAAGTCACATGTTACTATTAAATGTACACATTTTTTGTATTATTCAATTTATAATTTCAATGAATTATAATAAATTAAATCTGTTCAACCAATTAAAAGACAAAATAATTATATTAAATTATAATAAAAATCAAAATCTGATTACTAAAGTGTCTTATAAACTAAATTATATTATTAGCACTTTTTTCTATGACAAATTATTTAATCTACGACAACCATATCTTTAAGACTTAATACCTTGAAGTTATAAAAAATTTTAGCATTCTTCTTTTAATTTTGGAGTAGACTTTATTTTGTTATTTATCATGACTAATTAAATGTATATTTTTTATTAAAGCTGCATTTAATATAATATATCTTACCTCTTTCAGATCCTCCGACCTCTTCTTCAGCACCGTTGTACCTGCGATGCGTGATCAGAAACGCCCGCGGCATCTTCCTCGTCTCTTCCTCGATTTTTGTCTCCTCAATGCACACAAGTCATACTTATCAATTCAAGACTCACAAACCAACACACTCGTTGCACCGACTATCTGCGATATTATCTGCAATAAGGATGACGAAGATATGAGATAAGATCCGGTGATCGCGAAGATATCGAGAAGGAATTATAATCCGATTCCGGTGACGTGTACGTCGAGCGGCGCAGGGGTTGCGTTCGCTTCGGCAATTTCGGGCGCAATAGTTGCCCCGGCTAAGATTCGGGGCTACATATAGCAGCGCAGCCTCCCTCGCCCTCCGTTGCCGCCGCCGCCGCGGCGCTCTTCGTCATCATCGTCGTCGTCTTCTTCGTCTTCAGCTGCACGCGCCTCAGAAGCGTGCCCACCCGGTTCCTCCGCGTGTGCGATGGTGGTGGTGGTGGTGGTGGTCCCGTTCGTGTGGCGGCAATGTGCGACACGCGTGACGAGTGTGTCTCGCGGGAGAGCGCGGAGATGAAAGGCTGCGTAGGAGGAGCACGACTGGCCCCCGCGGCTTACGCAGGGTGGTTGCTCGCCATTCTCCCTACGGCAAGTTGTCCCCGCCATTATCGCTCGTTACTTAACCCTGCGCAACAGGAGAATCATTATTATATTTTTTAATTAGCGATTTAAATTGAATCAGTCGAAATTTATCTGGCGCACGAAAGAAAGATATATTTGTCATTATTAATTTTTAATGAATGAAATTTTTAATGTGCACACTTCCCCATTAAATTTAATCAAGATTTATTCTATTAAGGGATTAATATACTTTAAACAGTAAATTGATATACTTTAAACAGTAAAATGTGTTAAACAGCAGTTTAATGTAATATACCTATTGTATAATATTTTCAATTTTTTTTTTTACATTAACGTAAATCATTTATTTATTTTGCAGTGACAGATGCGGCTCATAATAAACTCATAATTTTTCAAATTCTTCTCATCTAATCTTCCATGGTACTATTATGACGTCCAATTTTCATGAAACAGCAAAAAACAGGAGAATCAAAGGAGAAGATGAATTACTATCTACCATGTATTTAACAAGTTCAAGAAGATCGATGTTATCAATCTAAACGAAGAACGTGATGGCAAGCAGATTTGTGATAACGGCGTCATTTCGTCGGCGGCTACAGGGTAGGAGCAGGTTGGTGCGCTGAGTGGTTCTTCTGGCGCGACGCCAGGCGTCCGCCGAATTTAGCACCGCGGTGCTGACTAACTCGCGTGGCATTCATTCAATCGTCGACCAAAAAGCCCCGCTGCCTCTATAGTCTCTTGTTCTTTGCTAAAGCGATTAGCAAAAAAAAAGGAGATTAAATTTCAATTCTTTCGAATCCCAGAAATAATTCACTAAATTAGCGAATACGTAAAGTTTTCTGCATATTGCAATTTTTTCTCGATGCAAATCTCTCATGATATTTAAAAAATATTTGATTCACGCTTGAATTGCTCTGATGATCTTTTTTATTAATGAAAATTTAATCAATTCTGCAGTAATCTAATTTGCGAAACTTGAAATGCTATTTTTAATTCATGGTTTTATTTTTATTATCAATATATTCTAGTTATTTTTTAATTATCGTTATTTATTATGTACATTTATTTTCTATTTATCTATTATATATAAAAATTTACATATCTATTTTTCAGAAAACTCACATCTGCATTCAAGAGAAAACTCACATCTGATTCAATAGAATTTATGATTCATAGTCAACTACTAGATATATTTGCCTCCATCTGCGTCATTTCCGCGCTATATGAAAAAAAGAAAATATTTGAAATTTTTCAAGGTGAAGAAAGAAACTGTGAAGCATTCCATATAAAATGTCTAGGTCAGGATGAATAATTTGCGAGCTTTTGGAGTTGCAAGAAATTTCTAGATAGGAGTTTGCGGAACAGGTGTCTCGGCGACGATATCGTAAATCGCCGACGACGGTATCGTCGAACGGCCAAAATAAAGTCACGAGCTTTAAGAACGTCAAGCAAGCGAACGCAAGAGAACATCTTCACTACTGACGCAACTCTCAACCCGACAACAGATTGCCTGCCATGCCGCCATTGCATACAGATGATCCATTAATGTAACCGGCACCGATAGCGCTTTATCCGGCGACTCATCCTACAGGTGCCCCCAAAGATATTCGATGTGCCCACCAGTCGCGTATTTTCAGCTTTCTTGGAGCGTCTCCAGGTGCGAGGGAGGAGAAAGAGATATACGTGACGTCGTCGATGGGAGACGCGGAGGAGAGATCTTGATGGATAAATCGCGACTGGTAACCACGTGCAACTTTCATAAAAGACAGCGGAAGAATCTACGATTGCAAAGAAACGATACTCGCTCGAGAGTTACACGTTGAGGTCAAAGATCACACCTGAAAAATTTTGGTAAGACAATCTTAATAATGATTAAATATAGTGATGAATTATAATTAATGATTTACTAAATTGGGACAAGTTTGTAAGAGAAAAAAATCTCCCGTTTTAGGTAATTTTTCGCTCGAAAAAAATGGATAAGTATAGGGGCGGATTTTTTGCGCCAATGACGGGAGCGCTGAGTCATTAAGACTGATTCCAAGGGACGGCAGGATCGTTTAGGGAGAAAATGCGTGACTGTATCGTGTGTCGTCCCGTGTGTAAAGTATCCGGATACGCTGGGTTCCTCCTATAAATCAGCGACCTCCCGCGTGCTCCCTCTTTTCCTCGTGTCGGTGGTAACAAGTACTTTCCGTGTGCCGGAAAAAAGGGAAAAGCACGCGATCGCTATTTAAAAGGCTCGTAGGTGGGCGGTTTTTTAGCAGTAGTCGGGATATGTATAAAGGCGAGCGCAGGGAGATAGAGAAGGGGAGAGCCAGAGAGAGAGAAAGAGAGAGGGCTTCGACTTCGCCGTTCCGCCTCGGCATGGGGTTGCCATGCTATTTTCAGGCTCTGATGGCTCGATGCAGCTGTCGTGTTCTTCGGGTAAACCACCTCTCTTCTATTCCACGGCCATTCGCAAGGCGCGACAAGGTAAGCTAAGAAGATCGGAATCCAGAATCTCGCGACGCGAGAGACGCACATCTTCCCCTTGGTGAATTTTTCTCAAAGTCAGACGTTCGCCAATTTTGCTTCTCGGTAACCAAGGCAAGCAGAGTGACGCATGTCTTATCTTTGTCAAAATTGTGTTGGAATTTTGTGTTGCATTGACAGAAAGAGAATTTGAATCGAATTATAATATGAAAATTGTGCTTCATTTCAAAAAATTATTCTCCATTTCTTTGTGTCTGTATAAGAAAGAAATAAGAAAAAAATCTTTATATAAAATAATGTGTACTAACATTCAAAATCTCAATACGGTTAAAAAATGAATTTTTATTTAAATATTGTAAATACATGTTTTATAACTTTGTAGCTTTAAAAATTTGCTAAAAATACAAAAATCCTATTTATGTTATAAGGAGATTTGCACAATTTATTATTGCAATCTGATTATGAGTAGCCATTGGTGTCTGTATCGAATGTTAATATTATATGATTACTAAAAGTTCTGCGCCGTAGACGATCATAAACATTTATGGCAACGCAAACACCATGAAATAATAACCAAAGTCTTACGATTTCCAGGAATGTTCGGTGAACACTTTTGCCTAGATTTTGCAAATTGGAAGAATCTATAAGAATTGTCGGATTCCAAAAATAGCAACAAACGATGATGAGGACACACGGTACTCTTCCACGAAAAGACGTGTCGGCGAGAAAGTAGGAATAAAAGTTCTCGTGACTCTCTTCCGCGGAAGAGCTTCTACTGGAGAATGAGGGATGAAGACGAAGCCGAAGATAAGTCGCGAAGACTTGGCAGGACGCCAAATGACAGATTTTCAGCCGTCTACGTGTACTCTTTCAACTTACCCGTCTGCGCTTTCCTTCGGCTCCCCTATGCATCCTCTAGGATCTAGGGTGCAATGACATCGGGCGGCGCAATTTAATTCTCTATTCATGGTCCGTGAATCATTATGCAAGAATATGCTTTACGTCTCGATTATTTCTCAGCATTGTCGTTATTTTTAAGTCTGCAAGAGAAAACAATGATGTAAATTAGTGGATGAATGTAAGAATAGAAGTGTGTAAAAAAGGGACAGGAAGAGAATGCAAGATAATTAACCAGTTATCTCATTTTAATGCTGAAAAAGACAAGAGAAGTAAGTTGAATAATATTAAAATATATATATATATATATATATATATATATATATAAGTGTAACTGTTATATATATATAAGTGAGCGATTTGTAGCTGATTGATGAGATATATATAGATTAGTAGAAACAGATAAATATCTTAGACGTAAAGATTTGAAATATTTAGACATGGTGAAGAAATATAAATGAGTTGATACTCTCGATGAATCGAGAAAAAAAATTGAAAAAAAGTTCGAAGAGTGCCCCGGTGACAAAAAACGTCGACCAGAACGACTCTTAATTTAGTTTTGGGTGCAAAAGGTTAATACTGGGTGGAGATGTCTCCCGTGGAAGTGTCTCCCTTTAGGGGAGAACACCGTAAGACACGTTGGCTCATGTTTGAAGCAATGTCCTCAAGGATAAAGGGAGACAGTTCCTTCCGGAGACAGCAATCACAGCCGCCTGTTTCATCCCCCCTCGATCGTATTCTATTCTTACACCATAATCGGTATAAATTCAGCTACTGGCCTCGTTTTTCGATATTAATGGATTATTCTTCATTGAGCTTTGTATTATTTGAGCAAAATCATTCGATAATTAATATAAGACAAAGTCAGTTATATAGAAATTTGATATACATACAAAAAGAATTAATTTTTTGACATTTTAGGGGCATATCTTTATGTATTATTAAGTATACTTCATAATTTTTTTTTCCCATTACAAATGTTTTATATTAAATTAATCAAAATTTTATACACAAATATATCTTCTAGAATTGTTTTAAAAAATTACAATTAACTGATCGACAATACTATTATTTTATTTTTGAATGAAATTTTTTTATGAATCATTTTTTATCTTGTCTTTTACAGATATAGATTACAGTACTTTGACATAATCCAAAGGCGAAATTTTCTTTGAAGACACGATCGCACCCGCACCCTTTCCTTTTATTTTTTGTATGTATTTATCTATTCATCTCTATCTAGATTCTTACCTCTTCAAGCGAGATCGCAGACGCCCCGCTCCCAGCCAGTGTAGAATTTCGTTGTGAAATTCGTAAATGAGCCCCCGTGACTCGTGCTTTTGAATGGAGACCGACGGACCGATGGTTTTTACGAAAGCTGCCACAGGATGCGGGTGCGCGGAATGGAGAAGGGGTGGCAACGCTCATTTTCGTTCTTTTTAGCGCTTTTTTCTGATTCCCTCTCCCTCAGTCTTGCGAAGATCGGAGAAAAGGAAGAAATATCGCCAGCTGATCACTGCCGCCGCTTCTGAAAAGAGGGTCTCTTGCAAAATACGAGCACGTGCTCTCGTGTGCGTGGACCCTCCTTTTTTAGATTTGCATGCCTGCTTGCCACCTGCGAAGACGGCTCGTCTCGTGCAGTTTGACCCGGTCACAATTAATCCCGGGTACTTCACTTTCTAGGTCCTTCTTTGTCTCGAAATTATGGATCAATAGTAATATACAAATAAGGATCTAATTCGTATATAATCTATATAAGATATATCTATATCTGTAGATATTATTTGTTTTTTTTCTTTAATTATAATAGAATTAAAAAGAATTATTGTCAATTTTACTCACGACAAAAATATCAGTAATTTCAGAGATAATTACTCATCTAGGATGCTAGGAATGTTGATTGCTTCCGTTCTCGCTTGGCATTCTTGTGATTGGAAGTGATTTTCACGAAATTTAAAAAGGCTAGGTGCTGAAACAAAGATCTTATAAAAAGTACTGCGAAATATAATTTTCCCAAATTAGAAGAGCGGGCTATCTTCGTTTGGTCAAGGCTGTGCATTCGCGTGCCAGGATCTTTCCCCTTTCTTTCGTCACCATTGCCCAAGCGGTCTTTATGGAAGTGACAGGAAAAGGAAGTGAACTAGACGGTGAACAACTAAGGTCATGGTCTTGAGTGATACAGTGACACGTATCATAATCAATTTAAATTGCTGGCAAATACTGTGTGACATATACATATTTCATAAAAAACATCATAATATAGCAGGTATTTCGCCTTTTATATACAGAATTACGTGCAAAACGTTTAAACTCGTTTTAGACAAATCTGTATATAATTTGCAATAAAATTCAAATATATATACCTATATGTATTCTATATGTTTTTATATGCATTTTATATATATATATATATATATGGATTTTTTTATAAATGTTTTTCTGTGTTTAATACATTATCTTTAAATTTTGCATTTTTCATTCTACATTAATATATTAATAAAAATTATTTAGATACTTTTGCAATATATAAAATATAAATATCATCCATATACAACCCAGATAGCCACAGTAATTATTATGACATCAAAATGATGTCATAATAATTACTGTGGCTATCTGGGAAGATAATGCTAATCAATCATTTCATCTCTCTCTCGCTCTCTCTCATATTTTATAAATTCAGTTTCTCTTTCATCTTACATCAAACCCCTCTGTCATTTTATCTCGATAAAAAGAAAAAAATATATTTTCATTGATCTATTAAATATCTCTTTGTGATTTTATCTCTGTTACATGTGTCAACGGGTGATCTTCATCGTTGGCGGAAATACCATTGTCTGAGAAAGGTCTCCCTGTCAGACGTTCGCCACTGGAAAAACTGCGAAAGGGCGGTTAAAGGGTCCTGAGAGGGTCGCAGATATACAACCGAGTCACCGGTGGCAATAGGCACGCGACCGACACGCGCCCATCTCCATCTCTCTCCGTCGTCTCATCTCCGGTTCGAGTTCCCTTTTCCATTGCCTTCCCTTTAACACGCGTGTGTGTCTACAAGATGTATGCGACCCACGCGCACGATCATGCCCGGGCTTACGTCCATATGGGATCTCGAAACATCGTGGTATAACAGTGTATAGTTTAATTTTGGAGCGATTTAATCATATTTTTTTTATAAACTCTATAAAAAGTTTTCATATCTTTTTCAAGATTAAATTTTAGGAAATATTCAGAATTCTTTAACGCTTTGTTTGTAGTATAAACAGTGAATGAAATAAATATTTGTTAATAGTTGTTAGATGTTAATGTATAACTAAATACAATTAAAAAGATTTCTACAAATCAATAGCATTTATATTTGAAATTAATTTAAAATAGTTAAAAGTAAGTTAAATATTTTTTTTTAATTCACAAAAATATAATTTAATTAACTGTTGATATCATACATCTATTTAAAAGTACTAGCATCAGTAAAATTTAAAAAATAATTCTATGCTTTAATTATTAATCTAACAGAAATATAATTAATTTACGATGTAACATAAAGAAGTTGAAAATAATTCGTACAAATATTATGTGCGTCACGATGAGTTTTGTGTAGCAGTATAATATTAGACAAACTCGGTTGGGGGGAGATCGCATTTTCGTTCGTTGATATCTCGCTGCTATAAGATCCACGGGAATATCGCGACGTATGTGCGTACGCGCTTCGGATGCGTGTGCGTGCCCATTCAGAAACTCTCTTCTTTCTAGTGGCCCATTGAAGAATCCAGCTGCGAATCGGTGCACTCGTTATCTTAACACTTTGAGGACTAAAGGATCGTACCTTGCCACCGGGACTGTATCTCTCGCATTTTCCGAGACTCTTAAAGTGATTTTCTATCTAAAAAATTAATGTTTTAAAATTTAATTTGCACCATATGTAAAATGATCATTCAACAAATTCCTTAGATAGTCAGTTATAATTAATGTTATAGATATCTCTTAATGTTCTATGGAATTCTAATAACAATTGACACTAGCAAAAGAATTATTAAGGTCGATGAAGACGAAAATGCGATCTGTCGTAACGAGGAAAATCGGACATATCTAAGTTTAGCTCGTATTTGTATGCAGATCAGGGACGGATTTAAAGTTGCCAAGGCGCCATAACATAAGGATCGAGAAATTTTTTTAAATAGAAATTTAGAAGAAAACATAAAAGACTTGTAAAGCAATATAGCTTTTCATTTTAATTTAATGTGTGATAATGTATAATTTTTTAAATTCTCCACAAAGAGAGAATATACTAAAATTTTCAATTTTTTAATTTTTTTTAAAAGCTTAAAAATTTTCAATTTATATTTCTAGATCTTTTAATTTTTTAAATTTTTTATGCATGTTATGAATGTTGATTAATTGTAGATAATTATTCTTGTAAAATTATCTCTATATATTAATAATTTTAATTATAATATATAAATTTAATATTACTTAAATTATGATAGTGCAAAATATGTAAATGTTATCATATATTTTGTACTTGCAACTTACAATATTATAGTATATTATGTATAATGTAGAAATTTTTCAAGAAAAAGTTTTCTAAATTCCATCAAATATAAAAATATATTTTAAAGTTCACATTGACTGTCATTATGATTTTTATCTTTCGGTATGACGTTAATTAGTTTGGCAAACTTCTGTGAGAAGTGTTAATGTTACACAAGGATATTTCTTTACTACAAATACTAATTTCAGACACACTTCACTAATTTATCTTTTGTCCATTGACGAAATATGTATCATAACAGGAAGAGTACGTAGTTCTCGTAACGATTGTTAATTTCTCAATGCGTTTACTTAGCAATCATCAGATCATATCTTAAGCTTTTAATGATAAATTCACTTAAATGATATAGAAAAGTAAAAAATACAAAAAGAGTATACTTGTTCAATTTAAAAACAAATAAATTAAAACATAGAAAATATATATTTATTCTGAAAATTGCAAGTTCTTAATATTCTCTATGCTATGACAAATTTAATAAAAAGAGCAATTTAACTAATTATATATTTGTATAATACGAAAGTTGCAAGCACACTTCGCTTAATTTTACTTCTTATGTCATAATTCAAAACAGATGACACAGGTGTGAAAGTCCTTAATAGAAGTGGCAAATAGAGCGAACGTGCTCGGTGACGCTCGTGTATATATAAAATGTTATTAAAAATCTAATTAACTGGAAGATATGCCAGCAGACTGACACTGTAGCTAGGAATCAAAATGTCGCAATTTCACACGGCTGCAACAAGTTTAGAGACAAGTTTTGGCCAATTACCAACGATTAAACGATATCTATAAATGACGACGACGATAGTGCAGCTTGGCATGACGAGTTGCGCGTATGCATCGCGCCTCTCGATTTAACTATCGCCGTGTATATTATGTTTGTGTCTACCTGTTGACGACAGCATGAGAATCCATGGGTACGACCGACTGACCGATGCCAATGATCAAAAAATAGGTACGAGCGCAACCTGTTCGAAATAGCCGAAGTGAAACTCCTCTCTATGGACACGCTAGCGTGGATCTTTTAAATCGCTGTCACGTTGAGCTCTCAAATCTCTGGATCACCTGTAATTAATCTACGATTAATATAAAATAATGTACGTTTTTAATATAATATATGGTAATTAATATAATTATTTTTTTCAATCTATAAATAAAAAATTAAAATTGATCAAAATGTATCTATATTTATACTTGAAGAATCGTGTATATGTCAATATTAGTTTTAAGATTATTATATGATGAATTTTAAAAATGTTTAATTAATTTTCTTTATTTTGCAGGTCAGGAGATCACTCACAACCGCGAAGGTGGCTAAGCCCAAAAGGAGGAAGGAAATCTAATTATAGAAGTCGTTGTTGCCGCGTGCTCAGCAAAGACGATGGAGGGTGTGAGTGCGGGTGCACGAATAAGAATCGGTTGTGCATTGGACGGTCATAAAATGCAGCCTGCATCCGCTCAACGCAGATGTACTACGGAACGGGGTTCGTTCCTCCTACGAGGAGTAGTCCGCAAAGGATCTCCCGTTTCGGGGTTACGCGGCCTACCGAGATATAGACCTCGAAGAGGACAATGAACTAGGAAAGATCCGCGAAACATGATTAATTAAACCGCGCGTGAGATCTTGCTCAATTTTTGTTTAATACATATTATTTATATCAAGATTATAAATAATACGGATGACAATTTTTTAAAAGAAAAATATATACAATTTTTATAGACATTTTATCGCGAGTATTTTGTGAATAATTTTATAGACATTTTATACGCGAAAAGATATATCTGTTTACATGAATAATTATAAATATAATTGCACTCATTTTGTTCAATGTAAGATATAAGAATATATCAAAAATATTTTGAAACTGAAATATATTATAAATATTTGATATTTTTATGAATCAATTGCTTAATCAAGGAAACAATGAAAGCGAATATTAAAGTGATTAGACATGTTATCACATGCATGATGATATGTACTCGGTACTTCATTGAAACGGTTTTTTGTCCAAGATGTTAAAGTAACGCGCTATCTTGTCGTATATTCATTATTTCGTTCATTATACCGTCCATTCATCCGGGAGCCATGTGTTTCATTACTAACCCATACGGTACTTCCTGTGTACCATGATAAAAAAAATTCTAGTCAAGTTGTACCGATCCGTATTATCGCAATATCGTGACTTTTTTTATAATTTAAATATATTTTATACATTCAAGATAATGAAAGAATCAAAATTAGATGATCATATTTAGCGTTAGATGCAAACTAAAAACACGTGTATGTGAAAGCAGAGATTTTTTTTATGCCTTAATTATTAAAAGACTTGAAGAAATCATTATTTTCTTCACACTACCTTGCGATATGGGTAGATATTTCCTTTTCAATTTTGCTAACGTAAAATGTGCTTAGCTTTCGCTGATTGTTTCTGGAGCAAAGACTAACCGTGTCGACGAGTTCCAGCTGCTAGATCTCGCGCGTGATCAACTCGTGCCGGCACAAGCTGCGATTATTATTGTTTCCCTTTTTTCTTCACTCTCTCTCTCTCTTTCTCTCTTGAAGTAGCCGAGTGCATGCCCATGACGTGGCCATGTAAGGGCTAGGCGGGGGTACCACGTCGCGGGGCCGCTAATTTTAGATCGACTCCCGTGCTTCCAGGAGTCGACTCGGCGAATCGGCAGCTGGTGATTCGACGAGCTGCTGCTGCTGATGATGTTGCTGCAACGATCTCGTGAGTCCGGCACAATCACCGGTCATCCTTCTTCTCTAATTCTTGGAGAAGGTCGATACGTTCAATCCTCCTCTAGTCCAGAATCCTACGACCCCTCTTTCCTAGAAATATGAGACCACTATTAAAAAACTTATTACATATGGTTGAGTTGTTAAAAGAGAAAAGTTGTTGAACGCCGGGCTATTAACTCCTGCGCAAATTTTAATTATCCGTCTAATTGTCACAAATTGTTAAACATAAATGTATGTATATGTATGTATGTTGACAATTAAATGGATAGAATATATATCTTTTGTTCTTAATACAAAACAGAACCCGATGTCGGAACGAGAAGAAACGGAAACAGAGCGGAGAAGACTTTGGGAAGACTTCTCACATAGAGAGTAAAAACGCATCCGATGCATCCTTTCGTTTCCAATGTGGAAAGGGGAAACGCGCGTCCCTTTGAGCGCGAGCTGAGGCGGCAGGAGGTAAGTCGAGAGATCTGGCAGCGGCTGGTGCAGCGGATGTTTGAAGCTGCTGAAGAAAGCGAGGCGATGATTCCTGTTGTGGCTTTCCTCTCGCCGCCTCCTCCTCCCGGTCAGCGGTAACCGCACCGCGTAGGAAACACATTTTGGCGGATGTGATGTTTAGAGGACAGAGAGAACCACCCCGCGACTGACAAAAAGCCCAGCGCCCCTGTATAAATAGGCATCGATGTGCGGCGGTGGTTGCTGACACCGTGGCTTAAAACGTGATATCGTGCGCTTTGACCCAGATAAGTCAGATTGATTGTTTATGAAGCGAGAAACGGACCTTTTTCAGATCCCGTTCGAGAATATATCTTCAGCGGAAGAAAAAAAAGAAAATGATATCAATCTCGCAGATTCGTTAACTATAAAGTTATACAAGTTAACATTTATAACTTTATTAATTTTATTAGTAAAAGAACTTATAAAAATGATTAAAAAATAAGTCTTTATAACTTAAAAGAAATTCAAATATTAAACAATTTCAATTTTATTTCAGCAGATCCATCGGTGAATGAAAGATAATAATATTAACAATATTTATAACATTCTGCGAAAATATAGTTTCCCCCCAATTAGATAAAAAATGATTTTTATTAGAACAATTATATGTTTAGAGATTCTTAGTCTGTTAGTATAATTCTGAAAATTATTGTTCTCTCATCTGAAAGAGTTGCATTTCATCTATTATTCAGGGATGAAAATCTCTGAATTTTAAATGCCCAAAAGAAAGAATTAAATCGAAACTGTTAAAAGCGCTCACAAATTTTTTATATGTCCAAGACGCATGGGTTGCTTTCTCTTCAGGCTCCTGCTGAGGCATCTCCTGAGAGACCTCCTGGCGTCGTCCAGCATGTGCACAAGGGCCCTCCTCTTTGGTTTTTGAATTGTTCTATCCGTTCATTGGTCTTATTATCCAAAGAACATATGAAAAAGTCAGAATCGGGCTCGAAGACCAACGCAAGGTTCACACCTCCTCGGATTGTAAATAGATTCTTCTTGTAGTCGGCTACGTATAGCGTGTTAACATCCTGGGAGATAATGAATGGGACCACCAACCATTTACTGATAACATGTCATATTTTAATGCCGGCAATATTTGATCTATAAATAAAAATATCATCTTAAAAAAACAAATTTATACATAAAGTATATTTTCTTGCCAAACTATTTTATATAATCTCTAAAGATTAAATCCTACATAGATATAATCTCTGGAAATTTTAATAATTATTACTCTATAAAATGTAATAATGTAGTACTTCTTTCTTAAATATTTAAATGTAAAAAAATAGCGTTAACATAAAAATCGTAAATATACAATCGGGAACGGCAACACGACATATAACAGTGCGCGATGTATATAGTCTCTTTTGGGGGTATCACCTGCTCTTATTGTTTAACCGTATGAAATGAGCCGACGTCCGGTGCTGGACCAGATTGCGGCCGGCAACGGCGCGTGCCCGATTCGCGGAAATCCGACACTCTTACTTTTACGATTCTACACGGTGCACAAGGGACTTAAAAAATCTCTCTAGAAAAGTTACACCCGTCCTACGGTGCGACATGTGTCTGGAGGTATCGCATTTGCATATATCTTGGATTATATATGTATATCATGATTTCATTATAAGTTTTTTTTTTAGAAAAACGCGGATGTTATTATTACAAATAAACAAGTTCAATTAAATTTGAATTGTTTTAATAATTTTATGATTCTATGATTCTTTGAGAGAAAATATATAAATTAATATAAATATTTAATTTTAAATGTTAAATAGTTATATAAAGAGATATTTCAGAATGTGAAAGTTTTGAACAACATAGTCTTCATATCGAGAATGTCGTAGAGCCACTTCGGTCTAAAGACTACGTCCAGTCGATGAACAAACTGATGCCCTTCAAAGACATATGTAACCTTTTAAAAAAATATATTTATATTTACAAAAGAAGTGCGTGATGTATATAATTTAATATGTAATTATCCGTACGTAAAAAAAATCTGGCTAACATTCTATACTTCAGATATTTAAAACTTCATATATACAAACATCATATTGTATAAAAATATGTATCTCTTTCACCTCTGTCTTAAATATTTATATTATATTATATTCAAACTGTAACAGAGTATATGTATTCAAACACAATATTATTCGATTTTATTCGGATCTATTTGTTCTCAGTCGATGTATAAATCTCGCGTATAAGATAAAGAGAAAGAGAGAAGAAAAAGATATGAAAATATACATAACAAACTAACGTCAACTGGAAAGTGCGGCGGTTGCACGCGACTCGCTGCGATACAGAAGAACACGCTGACAGTTACATATGGCTCCGGATATGTTGGTGTGGGTATACTCCAGAGAACTTGATACGTATAAAAATCGGCAGTTCCTTCTCTGTTGAGACCGATAAAATCTACGTAGAACATCCAATTTTGTAAAGCCTGCAAAAGAAATTAATAAATCGCTCGTTTCCTTTTTATTCTCGCGACGATCGATCTTTGTTTTCAATTGCACCGATAATTGGTTCCATCTGAGCATTTCTTCTTTTATACATCGCAGACCGTTTCTTATGTTGATTTTTCCACACGTGGGCCATTTTGTTCCAGAGTAATTGAACGAAGATTGATGATCCTAAACGATCAATAGAGAAATGATGATTAAAAATTTATATAATTCTCTCTTTTGTAATGATGATCTTTATAATATTGAATAATAATCAGACATAATTATACGTACATAGGAGATATATACGGGAGATATCATTCCAATGATAATGTATAAAAGCGTTTAAAAATTATATGTAACATTATATATAATTGACTATATAATTGACATGTACATAAAGGTTAACAAACCATAACAGCAGCAATCTTTATTGCAGCAGTAATTGCAGAATCGATAAATCTTCTCATGAAACGTGTCACATCTTGACAGGATTCTAACTGATGTTCTTTCACAGGCCATGTATTATATATTGATCTTTTTCGCATAATCATTTTGATTAAATTTTTTTTGCAGGATAATAAATTTTAAAATACCATCTTCGAGATTTCGATAATTTATTTTATCGAAACATAACAAATCAATATATATACATATATATATAATATTGATTTGTTACATTCTTCACGTTTAAAAAAAAATCGTTTCTACGCAGATTTCATGCATTCACCATGATTATATAAGAAAATGTATCATGATATATATAATTACCTACAATCATATACAAGATACCTAAACACATATGTATTATAGTTAAATATGTATACATATACGACAACTTTAATCGAAACGAACGGTTCGTAATACTATATCATTAAAGCTCATATTAACAGTCGGTTTTAGAGTGATTAGAGTGGTCATGTTGATTACGTGCCGCTTTCGTAGACGCTTCCAATCCTGTTACGGCCGCTAACACTTCGAACAGGCTTTCCATCAATCTGCCAAATATTTCTGACATCTCGTCATCTTTCCTCGTCACTACGAATATATCTAAAAGATTGATATGCAAAATGTATAAATCAATATATTTCAATTATTATATTTAAAAATTGCAGATTATGCAAATATCTAAAAAAATGAGCAATAAAATACATAAAAATGATAGTCTATTATTTTTTTTTTCATTAAAATTATATTATAAAATATTTCTTTATTGTCTTCTTTGTTCGAATTATATGGAAATATGTAACGCGCGCGCGCGTACTTTTAAACTCACCTGATCTATCCTGACCTATGTATTTGCAGTACATATTAACGGCAGTTGTCACATCATCGTCATCGTGAAAAGGATCTCCGGGCCATTGTGCCCTATGCAATCTGACGGCTTCGAGTGCCGGGCACCATCGTGCATTTCTCAGAAGTTCGGCGACCCGGGCAACTTCTTCCACGGCTCCAGTACCTGGCAGTGGACTAGGACTGGGTGTTGGAGTGGGTGTTCCTCGTTCACTCTCCGTGCTCTCTTCGAGCGCTCTACTTAAAGCTATTTTTATATTGGCGATCTCAACAGACAGATCCTGCAGAGGAATCTGTACGTTTCTAGCGGCGACCATTAACGCTCCTAACATTTTGTTCGATGCTTCGATTAACAACAGAAGCTGAAAATGCAGCTTATAGAGCGCTCTGCCGAGATCCAACAGCATTTCTTCGACGCCCGCTTCTGTGGTGTGGCTATCGCCTAACGCTTGAAGCTTAGCGGTTGCTTTAGCTGCCTCCAAACACTGAAAAAAAAATTGTTAATAATTTGTTTTAGATAATCATTGTATGATAATCAAAGTATGAAATGTGAAGCTTACTTCTGTGGCATGATCCTTCCTATCAAGGAATGTCTCCAGATGTTCTTGCACCTCCAGCATTCCAAAGCGCAACGTCTCATTTAAGCGCTGATTCGCAAATATAGCCACTGAGAACCACACCAAAGGCGGTTCAGCTTTTGTACTTAGTAGTTCGGCATGACTAGATAAATGGGAACCCAAATGAGAGGAAGCCGGACTGCCGTTGCAGAGCAAAGCGCTTGCCTCACGTGTAAGACCGACGGATTTGCTGCTCACATCCTGTAAAACATGAAAATTTTTTAATAAGGTTTTACAGAGAAATAGAAACAACTAAATATTGATATATTTTTATTAAACAATTTTTGATAAAAAAAAGCAATATTAATTTTTATAACACTTTTACACGTATTTTACTTTTCTCATATTCTTCTTTCACTTACTCTCAGTATCTTGCTCAGCAATTGAAAGAAGCTCAAAGTATTGTACGGAGCTTGAGTGATAAGACTTTGAATTTGCTGTCTCCAGATCTCTTCGGCGTCGTCTCGTACAACCTGCCGGAAGGGCATCAACGCGGACAGATTGGGCGATGCGTTGCAAGGTGTCACATCGCCAAGATCTCCCGCGCTCGAACCACTGTAGGCGAAAAGTTCAAGTAAATCGATTAATATATGCCTTTCCAAAAGTCTTCACACAGAAACTTACGATGTGTCAGACCTTGTGGATGAATCGTGACGCGTACGACTAGGTATTAATGAGAGAGAAGACGGCGGGAACATTCCCTGGATGCTGTTTGCTTCCTGGCCTGCTCCGGGTACTCCTCCTGGTACTTCGTCCAAGGGTGATTCCGATCCAGCTTCATCATCTGATGACTCTTCGGTCACGCCACGCTATATAATACAAAATTTTATTAATAAGAAAAATTTCAAAAAGAAGAAAAATAGAACACACAGTAGAAAAATTGTTTTTCAATTTTGTTATATATTTACCCGTGTTGTATGTTTGCTGGATGATGGTGTCTTTTCACTCAAACTTTCCTCGAACTGTCGTAAACTGGGTTCTCGTTCCTCTCCTTCACTGAGAGGACGACGTCGAACTCCCCAATTGAAGTTATCCGTACTTTCACCCTAAAATTTTATAGGAAGCGATTAAATTATATTCTTTACATTCTCAGAAATTATAAAAAAAGCATCAAGACTTACTTCAACGCTTTCGCTTTCATATTCAAGAAAATCAAAGTCCTTAAATACGCCAAATTGTTCATCGTCCCGTCTAGATCCTCCGCTCAAATCATTATTCGCACCAGAAACCTCTTCTGTTGAAGAGGCCATGGATGATTGTCTTTCCATCAAATCCGAACTTTGACTGAATATTACCTAAATTAAAAATAATTATTAATAATATGTGAATAAAAATATATATGAAGAAATACATTGAAGAGATTAGAAGCAAATATATATAAGTGACAAATTTTTTTTTACAAAATCTCAACAATCTTAATATCTCATATTTTTAGATCGAGAAAAGAAATTTTATATTGTAATATTTAATATTACAATATGCACTTATATTTTATTGCTTTTCAATTAAATCCCTCAATTGATAATTGTCTTGAATATAATATCTCAAGTCCAACTGACTACGTGAGTTTGCTCAAGATATTTAGCAATTGTGCATATACGTGTCTTACAATTACTAATTATATATGCAGAGTGCTTTGCAATTATATATTTATTTCTGTCAGATTCTAAAAAATAAGCAATTTTAATATTAAAAGATAAACTTTATCATTATGAGTTCAGAATGAATGGCACATCAAATGCACAACAAATTTATAATGTTAAAAAGTATAAAACACAATTATGTATAATGATTTATCATTAAATTATTAATATAATAATGGAGCAGTCTGCGTATATAAGAATATACATATTAATTACACACATAAGTTGTTTTATCAAAGCAACTGTGATATAACACATTGTCACCAAATGATATTTTCTACCTAATCGACATCATTTTTTGCATAACTACAGTAGACGACAAAGTGTTAAAAGATAATAGACCTCAGATTTGTATTGGATAGTTATTCCATTATCATTTTATAAGATCCTACACAGATGTGTAAATATATTTGTTTCTACAATAGTGCGCCAACATTTTATGAAGCTAACTGAAGCGTGAAATGATGATTTATAAAATATTGCAATTTATTCCAAGTATTGATATGTTATACTATTGTGGATAATAGTGGATGTGTGCTGGTTGCATTTAAAAATGACCTTTTACCTTGCTATATAATGTCATTGAACTAATGTGCTCATCCTAGAAAGGGGTACATAATGAGAGTCAATCGTTTTCGATAAGGTATATGATGACGCACAAACCATAGGAAAGGAACATTCACACTACTTGAATTAATAATTAAAAAATAAATCATAAAACAAAAACATACCGATGGACTCTTTGGCAATCCAACTCTCTGGCCACACGTCGTCAATAGATTTACCAAACACTCCCTGACACGACCCTATTGAAAAGAAATTTAATTTTACATTTTGTATATGCATAATTTTATACTTGTTCACAATATATGTACATTATATCATATGAATTAATAATTATACCTGTGACATCCAAGGCCTTTTCCATCCTGCAATGGCGCTATTTTCACCCGGTGATAAGGATAAGGAACAACGTGGTGAACTAATGGATTTTTCTTCAGTACCTTGACGAATCAACCAACGTCGACCGATTACTGGTGTTTGAGATAAATCAAATGTGAAGTCCATTGTCCTTCCTATTTATAAAAATGAGATAAACAAAGTCTAAATAATAAATATTTGAAGAGTTACACAAAATTAATATCTTTATATTTCTACATGATAATATAGAAAATATAGAATATAGATAATATAGAAAAATAATTTTATTGCACTTCTCTCTTTTATAAAACTTTTTAACTATATTAAAAAAGCTTCCAAATACATGTATCTTAAAAATTCAAGCAATCCTAAACATAGGAGCATAAGTATTTAGAGGAATATTATGTAATTCGAGAGATACAAGTTATGGATTGTCTTAGAAAAATATTGTTTTACACTTTCAATTTACAAAGCGATTACAATCTATCGCTATTGTTATTCTTATCGCAACCTGAATGTTGTATAATAAATTATCCGTTCCATGTATGCGTCGCAAAAAGGAAAAAAACAATAATAAATGCAGAAAAAATAAATACGCATTAATTTACGCGAAGACGTAGACTTACCCGGTAATTCCTTCTTCGTAAATATCTCTGTATCGGTGAAACTAGGATGCGGCGACGCCAGCGAGGAGTCCCAGGATGAACCATGCATCGATGTCGGTGGCGCTACGAGTGTCGACGATCTTGTCACTACAAGCTTCAAAATTTTAAGCGCTTCTTTCCAGTGAGTGCCCTAAGAATATCAGTTTTCTCAATTATACAAGTTATACAAATCGCAATCGGTTAATACGCTATATATTTTTATAATAAATATTGAATTGATATTTACACGTGCAACTATAAAACTAATTAAATATATTTTACCTCAACATATTTAGATATCACTCTCAAAAGTTCAGTATTAATAGGTTGCGCAGCTGGAGACGCCAGATCCACATAATGTAACATACAATGTATAATACTGAGTACTGACAACGCTACACTGCTCGGACCCTTTTCTAGGACTTCCACGAGGAAAGCAAGCATATTGAAAC